AAAAACAAAAAGCAGAAAGATAGTTTCCAGGGCAGGGAGAGGGAGAAATAGAGAGTTATTGTTTAATAGATGCAGAGTTTCAGTTTGGCAAGATGAAAAAAGTTGTGTGGATGGGGGTGATGGTTTCAAATCAACGTGCATGTACTTAATGCTATTGAACTGCATATTTATAAATTATTAAAATGCCAAATTTTCTTCTGTATATTTTATCACAATTTTTTTTTTTTTTTTGACAGGCGAGTGGACAGTGAGAGAGAGACAGAGAGAAAGGTCTTCCTTTGCCATTGGTTCACCCTCCAATGGCCGCTGCGGCCGGCGCACCGCACTGATCCGATGGCAGGAGCCAGGTACTCATCTACTGCTTTCTCAGGCCATAGCAGAGAGCTGGATGGGAAGATGAGCAGCTGGGACTAGAACTGGCGCCCATATGGGATGCTGGCATCACAGGCAGAGGATTAACCTACTGCGCCACAGCGCTGGCCCCCATTTTTTTTTAAATTTATTTTATTTATTTGAAAGACAGAATTACAGAGAGAGAGGTCTTCCATCCGCTGGTTCACTCCCCAGATGGTCACAATGGCCGGAGCTGCGCCAATCCGAAGCCAGGAGCCAGGAGCTTCTTCCAGGTCTCCCACGTGGGTGCAGGGGCCCAAGGACTTGGGCCATCTTCCACTGCCTTCCCAGGCCATAGAAGAGAGCCTGACTGGAAAAGGAGCAGCCGGGACTAGAACCGGTGCCCATATGGGATGCTGGCACTTCAGGCCAGGGCTTTAACCCTCTGTGCCACAGCACCGGCCCCTTGGCCATGATTTTTTTCTTTCTAAGAAAATTTGTGTTTGGAAAATAAAAACACTCCTCAAACCAAAACAAGCCCACAAATATCCAGTGCTTATTTACAGTCTATCATTGTATCCTGGCATTCTATTTTAATAGCTCTCGGTCATATACAAGTTAAAAGTTATAAGAGCAAGTTTAATTTTCAGAAGAGAAAAATATCACCATATGATCATTGGGACTGCTCCACTGGGTATAAACACCCAGAACCAAGGTTGTAACACCATTTCCATCTTTGTTATATTATAACTTAAAATTTACCTAGAAATTTCAAATACATGATTTTACCAAAACTTCATGACTACCCCTTAAGGTTTTTTTGTTTTTTTTTGTTTTTGACAGGCAGAGTTAGACAGTGAGAGAGAGACAGAGAGAAAGGTCTTCCTTCTTCCATTGGTTCACCCCTCAAGTGGCCACTACGGCCAGCGTGTTGTGGCCAGCACGCTGCGCTGATCCAAAGCCAGGAGCCAGGTGCTTCCTCTGGTCTCCCATGCGGGTGCAGGGCCCAAGCACCTGGGCCATCCTCCACTGCCTTCCTGGGCCACAGCATTGAGCTGGACTGGAAGTGGAGGGACCAGGACAGAATCCAGCACCCCAACCGGGACTAGAATCTGGGATGCTGGCGCCGCAGGCAGAGGATTAGCCTACTGAGCCACGGCGCCGGCCCCTCTGAAGATTTTAATACAGCCAATTTAAAGGTGGAGGACATAGAGTTTAAATGATTCAATGAAATCATTCAGCTACTAAGTGGAAAGGACCTGGTACTTAAAAGTTCAAATCAATTTTTATATTTCCCTAAACCTTAAGTTTAGCTTTATTGATCTGGGAACTGTCCCAAAGACAACAGAAACGTCCACTGCTTGGAGGATGTGGCCTCACACTGGCAGAAGAGCCCCAGGACCCCATTTCCTCTCCTACAGGATGGGGATGTTACCAGACATTGGCACCTGCCACTCAGGGTTATCTATAAGGTCAAAGGAAACTGTATGTGACATGTTCACAGTACACAATCAAAACGTGAAGTCACTGAAAGGCATGGCTTGCAGGAGACCAAGATCCATGATGCTTATCATCAACTGACTGTGGAAGGTGAGCGAGTATCCAAAACAAGCCCCAAACCCCAGCTGGTGTCCATGGTGGGCTAGAGATGACAGACACGCAGTTGCTCAGATCCAGAGACACTGACCCCTCCACCCCTCCTTCCTCCAGATGCTCAGGCAGAGTAACAGTAAGTGCAAAGGCCCTGAGGTGGAAATGGTCTTAGCCTGCTGGAGGAAAGACAAGACTGAGGAGAAGAATGCTACGAGCTGAGTCAGATGGCTAGCCAAGGGCTACATCAGTGAGGGCCTTGCAGGTCACAGGAAAGTGCCTGGATTTGATGCTCAGAGATAAGGGAATTCACTGGAGTTACGATGGTGCTACATGTCTGATTTATGTTTTCACTGGAATCTGGTTTCAGAGATAAAAAACAAGTAAGACACTCCTGGCATTCTCTATTAAAATGCTAAGATACTGATTAGGACACCCATGTTCCACACTGGAGTATCTGGCTTCAGTTCCTGGCTCCAGCTCCTGACTCAAGCTTCCTGTTAATAATGACCTTGGAGGGGTTGGCGCCGTGGCTCACTTGGTTAATCCTCCACATGTGGCACCGGCATCCCATATGGGTGCCGGGTTCTAGTCCTGTTTGCTCCTCTTCCAGTCCAGCTCTCTGTTGTGGCCCGGAAGGGCAGTGGAGGATGGCCCAAGTGCTTGGGCCCCTGCATCCGCATGGGAGACTGGGAGGAAGCACCTGGCTCCTGGGAGGAAGCACCTGGCTCCTGACTTTGGATCGGCACAGCGCCAGCTGTAGCGGCCATTTGGGGAGTGAACCAACAGAAGGAAGGCCTTTCTCTCTGTCTCTCTCACTGTCTATAACTCTACCTGTCAAATAATAATAAAAAAATAAATAAAAATAAATGACCTTGGAAAGGTAGTGGTTATGGCTCAAGTAACTGGGTTCCTGCCACCCTGTGGGAGACCTGGATTGTGTCTGGCTCCTCAATTCAGTCCCTGTTAGGATGTTGCAGACATCTGTGTAGGCGGCCAACGGATGGGAGCTATCTGTCTGTCTCCACCTCCGCCCTCTCTCTCTGACTCTTAAGTAAGTAAATAAATAAAAGTTTTTGAATTACATTTTAATAGATTTTTCCACTAAAACCCAAAAGTGGTCATGGCTTAGTTGGTATTAAAGTGCATTCTAGTAACACTTTAGCAGGAATTCACCAGAATGACAGAAGCAGGAAGGCTCACGTGACAGGAAAGATGACAATAAGGAAGGCAGATGGCAGCCAGCTGGTCTGATGCCCCCAGGTTCATCTCTACAACCTACTGCCTTGTGCACGTGCCTGGCTTCCCCCCATCACGCTGAGGGCTCTTGTGACAGCTGCCGAGGACAGCTACCTGCCTGTGGTCTTCTTCCTCTGCCCTGAGCAAGAGGCCACAGCTTCTGCAGCCCATAGCTCTCACAGAGCAAGCACCTAGAGAGATGTCAAAGGGAGAGCCCCTGCCATTGTCTGATTCCATGCTTTCCAGAACAGTGGCGAAGGAGGCCAGTGGGCCCCAGCTTGAGTTTACAGCCCATCCTTTTATAATTTTCTGCTCATAACTGGCTGATCCAGGCATTGCCAATTGTACTTGAAGGATGTACAAGAGAAAAGGGCCTCTATTTGATTCCTTTCTTCCCCTTTCTTTAACCACCGTGTACTGAAAGATTTCTCAGTCATTTTAGATATTTTCGAGCTACACACAGGTCTTACAAGCTGTAAAGCTACACACCACCAACTGATCACCACCTTAGAAGGATCAACAAATCTGGGGCCAGCACTGTGGCATAGTGGGTTAAGCTGTGACTGCAGCACCAGTATCCCATATGGGCACCAGTTCAATTCGGCTGCTCCACTTTCGATGTAGCTCTCTGCTATGGCCTGGGAAAGCAGATGGCCCAAGTCTTTGGGCCCCTGCACCCACATGAGAGACCAGGAAGAAGCTCCAGACTCCTAGCATTGGTCTGGCCCAGCTCTGGCCATTGTGGCCATTTGGGGAGCAAATCACCAGATGGAAGATACTCTCTCTCTCTAACTCTGCCTTTCAAATAAAAATAAATGCATCTAAAAAAGAAAAAAAAGGGTCAATAAACAACCTAAAGAAATGAAAACTGTGTTGTACATAAAGCATAGCAACATCACAGTCACAATCACTTCCAATCTGAGACAACCAACTGAACGTTTAGAACTTGTAGGGAGAGAAGAAAAACAGCTGATCCTGAGTTCAGGGGTAAGAATTGGCAGGGGTAAGAACAGGGAAAAAGGAGAAATTATCAGAAGCAACATGAGCACCCACTGTTTCTATTTCCTTTCTCAAAGAGACTCTAGAGAAGACAGCCTCTGCCTGGACATCACCTCCCTCTGCCTCCTGAAAACAAGTGAAGCAGAGTAGGAAGGGAACTCTTTTGCATTCATGAACTCCAAGTGGAAAGCACTTAATTGTGGTTTCAAAAGCTGTTCCCATCAGAACATACCATTTTTTAGCTTTTTACACCGCAGACAGGAAGGGACATTCTAATTCCTGCAGTTCAACTTGCTTCACTATCAAGTCTTCAGGTAGTGGTGGGGCCTGGAAGGGAACCCAGATCTCCTGACTCACCTTTCCTATCAAGTCTTATTATGTAGGCTTATGTTACAAAATAAAAGCACATTCTAGAAAGCCAGGCACTAGACAGGAAGTCACTCACAACTCCATCATCACACCATAACCACCATTCATTTTTCTGTTTCTTTTATCACATGCTGCTACGTCTCCTCCCTCCATCGCTGCAATTACTCTGGAGTAGTGTTCTTTCTGACACACAGGCCCCTCATACTGCCATTAATAAAACCAAAGCTGAAAACCTGAGCACCAATATGACATGAAATACAATTTGGTATAGCCTGAATGATTTTACTACTTTGTTAAGGGCTGGTACTGAGACAAGTCTTCCCCTCTTACTGAAACACAGTAAAAAGATACAAGAGCACCCTATTATTACTGGGGCTTGGAACTCAGACCATTTTCATGGAGTATTTAAACAGAGGCCCTGGGACATAAGAATCCAGCTGTGTCATCTCCCATCAGTTCTATTTACCTACCTGGAGCATCAGGTACTTGAAGAGGAATGAAAGGATCAGAGACGCTTAGAAGTGGGAGGCCAGAATCCACAGTCTGCCCACCCTTCCTTTTCTCAGCTGGAGGTGGTGGAGGGGAAAAATGGGATCAACAGAGAAAAGAGAAAAGCAGAAAACATCAAGTAAATCTAGATGAACTAACTGTCTATTAACCCAACAGCTCAAATTACAGAGGAAACCTAAAGCTAAGGGCAGAATAAAGGGGGATGAGTGGATATAATCTAGCAAAACAGAAAATATCTACCATAAGACAGCAATCCAGTCCTTGTAACATACCACGAAATGCTACTAATGATAAAATCAGGATATTCATAAGTCTGAAATTCCATTTCTTCCTAGGATACTGTAGTATACAGGGATCTGTTCCAGAATTCCCACAGGAATTGCTGTGCACATCACACACTCTGGCACATCAACAGTGTCTAGTAGGTCATATAGCACATGTGGAAAGTATAAGCACCCACTGCCCTCTTGATGTCCTCCAGGGGCTATGTGCTGTTGCATCATCATAATGTCTGACATAGCACTAGACAGACACACAGGGAGAAGCAGAAATAGACTACTTGCCTAGTGCAAGGTCAGACAAGCACTAACCTCTGGGCTACATCTAACATACTAGGGCATTCATTCTATATTTGGCAAATTATAGATTTACAGCAGTCTATCTGCCTTTTAGAACATCAGAGCTTGAAGAGATCTTAGAATTTTCTAGCATAATTTTTTTTATTTCCAGAAAAGAATATGAGGTTAGCCAAAATTTAAGAGAATGAGTTAAACCATTAAGAGAGCAGCCAGAGACCCATTGGCAGAGCTGGAATAAGAGCCAGGTCTCTTGGTTTCTACTTGAATCATTCTTTACCCTGCATGCGAGTACACAGCTTGTTCAAAAATCTCATTTTTCCTGCTATGAAGTGCCTAACTTCAAACAATCCTAGAATCTCACAAGAAACTGCTGTACAGAGCCCTATAAACCCTTCAATTCAGCCTCCCCAGCTCTAGTGTGCCATCAGACACTGGTGGGACAGCCTTACCTCAGCTATTCCACTTTCACCAGTTCTGACATGTACTCATTTGTGTGGGGGTTTGTATAATTTTTTCCCCACTTAGTGCCTGTGTCACCCACCCTGACTCCATCATCACTGCCAGACAGCCATGCAGGTAGAAGAACCCCACTCACCCCTTTGTCTCCTTCCATATCTCTCACATGGCTCTGGACATCTCTAACTTTCTCAATGCCTCTTCCTCAAACTCTGGTACAGGGCTGAGTTTGGAAGTCCAGAGGCCCAGTACCCCTCTACTAACCCTCTTGGCCTAGATCATCAGATGTGGGACATTTCTCTTCACCTCTCTAAGCCTCGGCAGAAATGGGCTTACAAAGGAATGAAAGTGCTGGGCACACATGGGTATTACTGGTAGCATCTCTATGGGCACTTGGCTCATATCTCTTTCCTCCCTGTCTCTTGCTCTGTCTTCAGCTTTGCTTCTGGAATAAGGAGGGTCTTCTTGGGTCTGTGAGGCAGCTTGGAAGAGATGGCAAATTTCTCACCCCACCCTATTCTCCCCAACTTCATGTCTCTCCTGGCTAGCAGACTGACTTGAGCTCTTTCTCCCCAGCTTACTCCTACTGGGTACCCCAGTTCCCCTGCATGCTCATCCCCGAGTATCACGCATTCCTTGGACAGCCACTGCTGCTGTCCTGAGTGCCATCTGCTCGGGGCCAGTAAGATGCAGTTTGAGAGGCAGGACAATGTGAAAGGTAAAGGCAGACTGACTCCCACTCCCCAGAACCAGGCTGCCTTCCTTGCACCCAGGCTTCATAGACACTCAGTGTCCTTCTCCACCCGAGAGGCCCCTGAAATACAGGAACCCAGCACTGCACACCCAAACACAGAATAGGAGTGGCACATATGGTACCTAGCCTTCCTCAGGCATACAGGATCCCCTCACTCTAGCTCAACCAGATGTACAGTAAGCAGCAGGTAGCAGGGACAGACCAGGGTGTTGAAGTCTAGATGTGGTGGAAGGCAAGAGGGAGGTGCAGTGGTGTCCCAATGGCGGGCAGTCTACTGGTCTCACTTGGACAACCCAGCACAGGGAAGAGTGCAAGGGCTCAAGAGGTGCTGCAAGGCTATTTAAAGATAGCAGATAGCCTTCCTTGACTTCCACAGCCATGCTCTACCCAATGGCCAGTTAGTCCCAGTATTCCAACAGTTGCTATCAGATTCCATTTGGTGATGGGGACACTGGACTCATGGACTGTGGGTACCTACCCCTCCCAGGCCTACCCATGAAGCAAGGAGGGAGAAGCTCACCCCAATATCCTACTACTACCACTCCATTTCCCTCCCTTGGACTCCCCACATCTCTAAGGATCCTGACTTCCTATTCTCTAACGCCCAACTGCCCCTCAGACTCTCAACCTCCCTCTTGCACCCCCAACACTCCTCACTGAAGCCATTAAGTTCCTCTAGAAGCCCTTTTCCCCATTTCTAAACTATGCCCTCTTAGGATCCTTAATTCCTATTAGAGCATTTACTTCCCTTCTGCCAACCTGGAGATAGGATTCTTAGCCATTTGTTCTATGAATAGATTGGTACAGCACCACAGTCTCACATAGCACTGCTCCATCAAGGGAAAGAATTACCTCACCCCACCCCTTCACAGTCCCACCCACCCTTACGCCTATCCTGCAAAACCACTAAGGTACTCTCAAGCTATAATTCTAAGAGTGGGCTTTTAATGAGATTTCTTTAAAGATAAAGAAAAGCATGAAACCACTGTTCCTAGGTCTCTGATCTTAAATGGAGATACAATGAAACATTTGAAAGAAAAAAGCAAATTACACAATTGCATATACACATCACATTTGAAAAAAGTACACTTGAGTGTTTCGTGTAATAAAACTCTAGGTATAAGGGCCGGCACCTGCAACATCAGCATCTTGTATGGACATCCTATATGTTCCATTTCTGATCCAGCTCCCTGCTAATGGCCTGAGAAAGCAGCATAAGATGGTCCAAGTCCTTGGGCCCCTCCACCCACATTGGAGACCCAGATGAAACTCCTGGCTTCGGCCTGGCCCAACCCAGGCTCTTGTGACTGATTAGGGAGGGAACCAGCAGATGGAAGATCTCTATCTCTTTGTAACTCTGTCTTTCAAATAAATAAATCTTTTTTTCTTAAAAGATTTATTTATTTATTTGAAAGAGTTACAGAGAGAGGAGAGGCATAGAGAGAGAGAGAGGTCTTCCATCTGCTGGTTCACTCCCCAATTGGCCGCAATGGCCAGAGCTGTGCCGATCCGAAGCCAGGAGCCAGGAGCTTCCTTTGGGTCTCCCACGTGGGTGCAGGGGCCCAAGGACTTGGGCCATCTTCCACTGCCTTCCCAGGCCACAGAAGAGAGCTGGATCAGAAGAGGAGCAGCCGGGACTACAACCAGCACCCATATGGGATGCCAGCACCTCAGGCCAGGGTGTTAACCTACTGCGCCACAGCGCCGGCCCCAAATAAATAAATCTTTTAAAAAAATAAAATGTCAGCAAATGATTTTCTTTCAGAATGGAGTGATGAATTTGTTTTTCTTGCTGCTTTGGGCTTTTAATCATTTTCCCACATTTTTACAAACTAACATGTGCTCACATAAGTTATCAGTGAGACAATACCATAAAAAGGGAGGCACAGTGTTAAGTTTTAGGCATTTGTCTTTTCCTCCTCCAACGTATAGACTCCCTTCATTATCCCATACTTTACAAAAGGAGGGCAAAGGAGTTTCTAAGATCTAGGTATAATTTTCTTCCATTTATAAAGAATGAAGGTGTCACAGTAAAGAACTGTTCATACCACAAAGAAGAAAGAAGGGGAAATACCACTGTTCATATAAAAATGCTGGATAAAATGAGGAAGACAACAAGACACTGTGTAACATTTGTACTGCTGTGTTTGACATCACTGATTTACAACACTCCTTAGGCATGGGTGCAGTTACAGCCCTGAGCTGGACTGCCTATGTACAAATCTTCATCCCGTCATTCCCCAGCCGTGACCTTGAGCAGGTGGCTCTTATGGGGAACACTGGGGACAGTGCACAAAAAAATCACTTACTCACTGGGCTTAGCACATACCATGTGTTTGATACCTGTTTGCTGTTACAGGCATGTATTTGTGGCTCTTTATATATTTGTGGTTATACCTTTAAGATCCTTAAAAATATATACTGCCATTTGTGGCCTTCAAAGTAAAGGGGAGGAAAAGGCAAAAACAACAAAACAAATTACTTTAAAAAAAAAAAAAAAGAGCTCACATAGACAAACAGTTAAACATAAACATAATTATGTGTGACAAATGAGAACTGGGTGTTAAAACCTGGTGGCAGGGCAGTGGTGGATGGAAAGTGATTGCAGTCCTCTGTGGTTAATGTAGTAAATCCAAATTCCTATCCTCTGGCCAAAAGCAACCCTTCTCATCATTCAACTAACCTGTGTTGGACCAAACATTGTGCTACATGCTGGGATGCAGCAGCAAAGGTGACTTTCCCAGAACTCATTCTATGACCTTCTCTCCAGAAACCAGATCCCACCCAGGACCATGGCTGGTCATCATTGTGATATTCTATGTCAAGGACAATGGTCCACGGTTTATACATTTGGTCAACCGTGTGGCACATCTAATTTCAAGCACCATGAACTCATCTTGGAATATTTGTAAACCCCTGATCAAAATATAAAAAAAGTAAAATTTACATGGACCAGACAACAAAGCTGAAAGAAAAATAACGCACAAAAACATTTTAACTACTTAATAGTAAATAATTTCAAAATAAAAACAAAGAGAACATCACACAAACACATATGGGATAAAGTTAAAGCTCCATAAAATCTCATTTGTTTCTTACTGGGAAATACACAAAAGTGCTGGCTGCTCTACCTCAGATTCAGCTCCCTGCCAATGACTGGGAAAGCAGCAGAAGACGGTCCAAGTCTTTGGGCCCCTACCACTCATGTTGGAGACCTGGATAAAGCTCATGGCTTTGGCATGGCCCAGCTCTGGGCACTGCTGCCATGTGGGGGGTGACCCAGCACATGGAAGATACCTCTCTCTCCTCCTCTCCCTCCCTCTCCCTCCCTCTCCCTCTTCCCTTCTTCTCTGTTAACTCTGCCTTTCAAATAAATCTTTAAAAAAATTTACAAAAAAAGACTATAAAGATGTACATCAGAGTCTGAAGCTGAGACTTAAAATTGTATAAAATTGTGGTCCCCTGTATTTTGGTAAGGAGATTATAACTTTCTTCAGATTCCCAAAAATATCTATGACCCTCAAAAGGTTAAATGTCATTAGGAGACATCAGGATGGTATCTGTGTGGTACGTCTTAGTGAGACATGAGAAGTCTGAACATTCTTTTCTCTATACTACTAACTTTTATACATTGCCTCTCCCCAAAGTTGCATGCACGCATGCGTATACCCACCCACACTACACACACACACAAACACTGCTTGGCAGAGTATCAGATACAGGACAGAACATCTAATTCTTAGAACTCATCAAATCATCCCAAAGAATCTAAGCAACTACAAGAGATGAACAAAGTGCTGCTCCTCAAACTTGAAGTATTTGCTTAAGACATGTCTGCAGTCAGGAGAGAACAAGTGTGTCCTCATGGGGCTGCCATGCTGTCACTTCAACTCCAGGTGATTTCAGATCTTCCACAATGCCTTTCTGATTGAAGAACGGTTGAATAAAGGAGCATGTAAGTTACTGCCAGGATCTGGGGTGTGTTACCCGTACCTAGAGCTATCTGTGGAGGGAAAGCAGTGTGATGGCAGCAACAGTGAGTCTTAGTTTTAAGTGTTTGCCATACTAACCGGTTCCTGCAGAAAATGGTGGAGTGGCAAAAGCATCGCCTTGAGCTGACTGAAAACCTGGGAGCAAACTCTCGGCTGAGCCTCCGAGCTTCTCAGGATGTTTGCCTGCAAAGACAGAACATTGCTCAACTCATTCCTGCAGAACCCTGGGAGACTGCAGCTGGAAGGACCAGGGCGGGGAGAGGCTGGGTAATGGGCGCCAAAACAGTTGGGTAGAGGGAAAATGTCCCGTCCTCCACAGCACTGAGCCACTGCAGCTAACAATAACCTGTTTTGTATGTTATGAAGAACTAGAAGAGCTTGAAAGCTCCTAACAAAGAAATAGAGACAAAAATGCTAACTACTGGGATTTCATCAGTATATACTTGAAATGTCACATTATACCCCACAAATATGTATATTATATCTTAATCAAATATATATATATGTGTATATATATATATATATATATATATAAATATGGCCCTTGTGCAATATTAAATAGTAACAGGATGGAGGGGAAGGGTACCCTCTAGCCAAACTTCTAGACTTGACTCTTTTTACTGCATTACGGCAACACCTCTGCTATTCAAAGGTCCTTGTTCAGTCACAGCAGTAACTGAGAGAACAGCTGAGAAAAGGGAAGAGATTACTAATAATCAAGAGACAGCACATCAGTTCTCCAAAATGAAAAGAGTTCTGGAGATTGGTTACACAACAGTGTGAAAACACTTAACCTACTGAACTGTGCACTTAAAAATGAGTAAGATGGTAAATTTTATGGTCTTTTTATTAAAGTTTAAAAATGTTTAATAAATAAATAAAAATAACTGAAAAGAGAAAGCACAGAACTAAAGCCCCACAGCTCAAGCACATTACTCAGGGCACAATGCCTCCTGCCCTCACTTGGAATCTACTTGTTTTTATGTCATTCTAATGAGGTTCATGGCCTGGTTTCCCTGTGGGAAGCAGTATGGGTAGCAAATGAGAAGAGGGACTTGTGAAGGATGGCAGAGTAAGAGGCTACAAAGGACAGGCACAATGAAGTCACTTTATGTGTAAGCTGACAGCAGAACAGAAACAAGGGAGACAGGAAATTAGTAAAAATAAACAGGGGAAAACAGAACTTGGGAGACCGATTAATCAGATGCAAAATCACTATAGCTTAACAGTCCATGACAATATTTCTGTTTATATACAGAACATAATGGGCACACAGAGTTGTCAAAGAAAGTTAAATCCCATGCCCTTCTTCTGTTTAAAAAGGCAGGAAAGTAATATTGATTCTTAAAACATTTCCATAAAATGCCAACTGAAGCCGAAATGTTTGGTCAACAATTGATATTATTCACTTGGTTCTGATCATTCTTTCACCCTGCACTCTTATCCACACTGTGGTATTCTTTGTGAACTGCATTTTAAAGAATTTTCCCAGGGCATACCAGTTTTCTAAAGAGTGTGTGTGTGTGTGCGCGTGTGTGTCTGTGTGTATATGCATGTATGCATGTCTGTGTATGGGCATGCATATGCGTGTGTGACAGTGTCCTGCTTTCCTAGACTGTGAGTTTTCTGGGTAGAATTGTGTCTTTTTTTTTACGCAATCTCTTATATAGTGAGTCAACCGCCATTTGGAACTCAGATCACAGTGAGAGATTCTGCATTCAAGTGATGACCCACTCACATGTTCAAGCAGTTACCACGTCCTAGAACAAGCCCACCTATACGGAGGGAGCCACCCTCCTCCTCCAAGAAGTGACCCTGCTCCAAATGATCAACTTGATCTATACCACTGAATGTTTTCTAGAACTTTTTCCCCTAATGTTCCCATTCTCCTTGCTAAGACCCATATAGGTCAGGATTTCTTGCACATGGAAGGCCTCCATGCTGTAGTAAAAATAAAGATGGATTTGCAGGCATGCTTTGAAACTGAGCCTTTGAGGACATGGCCCAAGTTTTTGTGTTCACATGCACACTCCTTTAGGGTTAAGATTCACTCTGGCTCCTCGTGATGTCTCAGCACAGAGATGTCATAACCAAGGATCACAAAAAGGGCACTACTCACTCACCTTCCCCCAGCTTGGCAAAGTCCTTGTTTAGCAGTTCTTCAGCTGTAAGTTTGGAGAAATTGTCATCATCAAAGGGATTCCACGTAGAACCTTCTGCGGGATTATAAACGTTTTGTTGGGAGGTCCGAGGAGAGCCTGATGGAGTGGTGGTTGCAGACCTACACAGGTTCCCACCCCCATGAAATAGACAGACAAATAAAAGTTTAACAAAACTTTGTTTAAGGGTCAAATTCTTTTCTGAGTCACACCATCCTTTTCTACAGTGTTTTCCTAAAAGGCCTTTCTGCAGCAATGGAGAACTTTCCATAGACACACTCACTTTGTGAACCAAACGCCTCCTTTCCTTCATAACTAACTACCTCCTACAACTTCTTTAATCTCTTGCTTAGTTGGTTCACCCCCCAAATGGCCGATACGGCCAGCGCACTGCACCGATCCGAAGCCAGGAGCCAGGTGCTTCCTCCTTGTCTCCCATGCAGGTGCAGGGCCCAAGGACTTGGGCCATCCTTCACAGCCTTCCCGGGCCACAGCAGAGAGCTGGACTGGAAGAGGAGCAACCAGGACAGAATCCGGCGCCCCAACCAGGACTAGAACCTGGGGTGCCGGCGCCGCAGGCAGAGGATTAGCCTAGTGAGCAGCGGCACTGGCCAGTTTTCAGTCTTATCTGGAAGTCCTTTCAGTTCAGGATCACAAAGCAGCCTGCCCTTGGGCTTGAGCTCCCTGTGGTGACCACCATAATATATACAACCACTGACCCTCGGTGGAGCTGTCTTCTACCTTTCAGGATCTAACATGCACAGAATTAGAACCATCAACACAATCAAATAGAAATAGATAAAGTCACTGCTATTTTGTGCTTCTGGAAGGGAGGGGAGGGGAAGGGAAAGAAGGGGGAAAGGAGGGGAGGGGAGGGGAGGAGAGGCAAGGGAAGGAGAGGGAAGGGAAGGGATGGGAAGTGAGGAAGGCAGGAAGAAAGAAAGAGGAAGGAAGGGAGGGAGGGAGGGAGGGAGGGAAGGAAAATGCTCTCTAGAACATGGAATGAAAGACAGAGGGGAGGGGGGAGGGGAGGGAGGAGAAGGGAGGGGAGGGAAGGGAAGAGAAGAAAGGAAGAAAGGAAGGAAGGAAGAAAGGAAGGAAGGAAGAAAGGAAGAAAAAAGGAAGGGAGGGAGAGAGGAAAGGAGGGAGGGAGGGAGGAAGGGAGGGAGGGAGGGAGGGGAAATGTTCTCTAGAACTTGGAATGAAAGACAAAATGGAAACAGTGGGCTGAAGAGGAAATTATTTCTAAAGACCAGCACAGTACATGTTCTACAGGCAAATTCAAGTTTTCTTATTAAACATGGCCATACGATATAAACATCTACACAATCTACATACTAATGCAAAGAATCACACAGTAACAGCCAAGGGCAGGCCTTGCCCACAAAAGCAAGAACAAAGAGGAAGCACCACATACTTGGACTTATTGAGACTGGCCTCCGCTGCAGCTGCTTGGAGCAGCTGGGTTGATTTGCTGGCAGGGACCCCAAAGACCGCACTGTGGGTTACATCACTGAGAATCCGCCTGTGCCCAGCACGCTGGGTTTTGGGGGATGATGGAGGAGTGAGAGATCCAAGTTTCTGCCCCTGGATAGCAGGAGGTGGGGTTGTCTGAACTTTTGGTTGTTGTCTCACTGGGGCTTGAATCTGCAAAGAAGAGAGATAGAAAGTGTTTCATGGGAGGGGGTAGGAAACGGGAAAACAAATAGATAAGAATAACTAAAAAATGCCACATGAGAGCTGACGTGGGACTCAAATGACTCAGCTCATCAATAACACCCAGGAAGAATAAACTATGCTTTGACAGTCTGAGCTGCAACTGTGAGCTGATTGTAACACAGCATCTGCCTGGTATTTACACATAAATTTCAATCCTCATTAGCAATTATATACAGAGCATCCATATGCAATTCAGCACAGAGCTTAAGCTACTCCTACTTCTGAAGATCTAGGATGCATCTTATATGACCACTTTCTGGTGCTGGCATTGTAGTGTAGCAGGTAAAGCTGCCACCTGCAACACTGGTAACCCGTAGAGGTCGCCAGTTTATGTCCCAGCTGCTCCACTTTCAATCCAGCTCCCTGCTAATTGCCTCAGAGAGCAGAGGAAGATGGCCCTTGCGCTTGGGCTTCTGCACCCATGTGGCAGACCTGGAAGAAGTTCCTGGATCTTGGCTTCCACCTGGCCCAGCGCTGGCCATTGTGGCCATCTGCAGAGTGAATCAGTGGATGGAAGATCTCTCTCTGTAACCACTTTCTTCTTCAGGGGGTCACTTAGAAACTTGTTCAGAATTCCAAAGAGTGGGCAGCAGTAGATTCTAATACTGCAGTTAGAAGCTGATGAACACCTGCAGCTTACATGCATTAAAGTTGAATGGTTTGGGTGAGAATTGTGGCACAGCTTATTAAGCCAGAATCCTATATGAGTACTGACTTACATACCAACTACTTCACTTCCGATTCAGCTCCCTTCTAATAAACCTGGGAAAGCAGCAGTATTGGACTCCTGCCACCCACATGGGAGACTTGAATGAAGTTCAGCCTGGCCTGGCCCAGTCTTGGCTGCTCCTGCCATTTGGAGAGTGAACAAGTAAATGGAAGCTCACTCGCTCTCTCTCTCTCTCTCTCTGTCACTGTGCCTTTCAAACAATTAAATCTTAAAAAAAAAAAAAAAAAAAAAAAAAAAAAAAAAAAAAAAAACCTGAAGGTTTCCACTAAGAGAGCCCTACCTCTAATAGCTGAGGCTCGTCAGGAATCAAAATTATACTATGATTAATAAATGGTAATACTGTTTTTGGTTTTGGTAAGGCACTTTACTTCATTTTTGGGATGGATCCACAAGATCATTTCCTTGACAAGCCCTGAGAAATGTAAGGCATTGGGATGGAGGGATTAAGTTATTCCAGCCTTCACTTTGGAAATGGCTTTGGAGAATAGACAGAGAATTCCAGGGGACTTCAAAAAGGTTTGTGGAAAATGAAATTAGAAGATACATTTAGGGGCAGGTATATGGCATAGTCGTTAAGATGCCTACATCCCATATCAGACCATATCAGAGTACCTGGGTTCAAGTTCTGGCACCACTCCTGATACTAGTTTTGTGCCGGTGTCGTGGTGCAACATGTAAGCCAACACCTGTGATGCTGGCATCCCATATCAGAGCACCAGTTCCAGTCTCAGCCACTCTGCTACCTGTCTAGCTCCCAAATAATGACACTGGGAAAGCAGTGGAAGATACCTTAGGTACTTGGGTGCCTGCCACTTACATGGGAGACCTGGATGGAGTTCCAGACTCCTGGCTTCAGCCTGTCCCAGCCCTAGCTATTGCAGCATTTGGGGAATGAACCAGTAGATGGAAGATCTCTTTCTCTGTCTCTCCCTCTCTGTTATTCTTTCAAATAAATTTTTAAAAAATCTTAAAAAATGCTTTTGAAATTCACGTATATGAAGGGTCACCAAAAATACATAATGGATTTCAAAAATTTTTTGCACCAGTATGAAATTTTAATTCTACTTTCCACAGTTTTTGAAGTACTTTTGTGTTTTAAGGGGAAAATAATGATTATGATGATGATTGAGCTGGTAGCACAAGGACTTGAGATGTGGACCACTGTCAGAACACAGCAAACTGCCATCACAGAACATTGAACAGGTGGGGACATCCTCATGACCACATGAGTGGTCCTTACATGCTATCACCTGTATCAGGAAAAATGAAGGGACTGGCGATGTGGCATATTGGGTAAAGTCGCCGCCTGTAGTGCCTGCATCCCCTATGGATGCCGGTTTGAGTCCTGGCTGCCCCTCTTCCGATCCAGCTCTCTGCAATGGCCTAGGAAATCAGTTGTAGAAGATGGCCCAAGTCCTTGGGCCTCTGCACCTGCTTAGGAGACCCAGAAGAAGCTCCTGGCTCCTGGCTTTGGATTGGCGCAGCTCCAGCCATTGAGGCCAATTGGGAAGTGAACCAGCGGATGGAAGACTTTTCTCTCTCTCTGCCTCTCCTTCCCTCTGTATAACTCTGACTTTCAAATTAATTAATAAATATTTTTTAAAAAAAGAAAAATGCATAAAATGTTAAAAGAGGGGGTGGGTGTTTAGCCTGGTGGTTAAGACACCTGCATGTCACATCAGAAAACCTGGGTTCAACTCCCAGCTCTAGGGGCCCACACTATGGTACAGTATGTTAAGCCTCTGCCTGCAGTGCTGGCATCCCATATGCTGGTTTGTGTTCTGGCTGCTCCACTTCCAAATCCAGCTCCCTGCTACAGCCTGGGAAAGCAGTGGAAGATGGACCAAGTGCTTGGACCCTGCACATACATGGGAGACCTAGAAGAAGCTCCTGGCTCCTGGCTTCAGTTCAGCCCAGCTCCAGCCATTGGGGCTATTTGGAGAGTGAACCAGTGGATGGACGATCTCTCCATCTTTTCTCTCTCTCTTTATCTCTGTAATCTGCCTTTCAAATAAACACATCTTTAAACAAAACAAAAAGACCTCCTAGCTCTGGATCTTGAGTCCAGCTTCCTGTTAATGTAGACCTCGGGAGGCAGTGGTGAGGGCTCAATAACTGAGTTCCCACCACCCATATGGGAGGCCTGGATTGAGTTCCTGACTCTTAGCAACTGCAGACATTTGGGTAGTGAACCAGTGAATGGGACTCTCTTTCTCTACCTCTCAAAAAAAGTCTCCAGTCTCATCCTTAAAAAAAAAAAGAAAAAAAAAGTTAAGAAAGCCACCTAACTCCATTTCTTATTTCTAACAGTCTAGAGATAAAATTATTTAGGATATGAAATACACCAGGGATTCAACTATCCCTCCCTCCAGTCAGATGAGAGTTCCCCCTCCACGCACTGCAGCTCAGCTCCCACAGTCTGCCAATCTGGGCCTGAGAGAATTTAGGGAAACCAGAATATCCAGCTACTGGGGGCTAGAAGCTTGTAACTTGGGATATTAACTGTTCCTATATTGTTCTGGAGACTTGCAACATTTACTGAGGCAGACTATGTACATGTATCAGTATACTAACCACTTCACCAACAGGCTGGATGATACATTATAAGGCACGAGAATCAGTCATGCATTGTAATGCATTGGCTTGCTAAAGGAGAAGCAGAGCACTCTGAAGAAAACCAGTGCTCCAGCTCTCTAAGTTCCCACAAGGGTCCAGAGCTGCCCTGCCACTGCCCGCTGAGCAGCAGCTCACACAGGCCAGAGGGCTGTGAGCACAGAAATGGGCTGGCTTATTTCATATTTCTTTTTTTTTTTTTTTTTGACAGGCAGAGTGGACAGTGAGAGAGAGACAGAGAGAAAGGTCTTCCTTTGCCGTTGGTTCAACCTCCAATGGCCGCCAGAGCCGGCGCACCACACTTGATCAGAAGGCAGGAGCCAGGTACTTATACTGGTCTCCCGTGGGGTGCAGGGCCCAAGGACTTGGGCCATCCTCCACTGCCTTCCCGGGCCATAGCAGAGAGCTGGCCTGGAAGAAGGGCAACCGGGACAGAATCCGGCGCCCCGACCGGGACTAGAACCCGGTGTGCCGGCGCCGCAAGGCAGAGGATTAGCCTAGTGAGTCGCGGCGCCGGCCTATTTCATATTTCATTACTCTGAAAATGGTACTTAAGCATTGATCCCCTTAGCTTTTGAAGAGTCCACACTATCTGGAGCACATTTTCCCTCCTGCCTATTCTATGCAGCACACTGAAGTAGAGATGCCTCCAACCTTATGCTATAAAAGCAGTGTGCTGGTGCCGGCATTGTGGCATAGGAGGTTAAGCCACCACCTGTGATGCCAGCATCCCATATAGGTGCCAGTTCAAGTCCTGGCTGCTCCACTTTTGATCCAGCTCTCTGATAATGTGCCTGGGAAAGCAGCAGAAGATGGCCCAAGTCCTTGGGCCCCTGCCTCCATGTGGGAGACCTGAAAGAAGCTCCTCGCTCCTGCCTTCAGCCTGGCCCAGTCCTGGCTGTTGCAGCCATCTAGGGAGTGAACCAGAGGATGGAAGATCTGTCTCTCTGTCTCTTTGTCTCTCCCTCCCCCTCTCTGTAACTCTGCCTTTCAAATAAAAAAATAAATCTTTAAAAAAAAAAGAAAGGAAAGAGTAGGTTTGGATAGAAAGCTTCTGAACTTGGCTTTTGACAGGCTGTGTGTATAATAATACAAAAAATAAACAATACAAGCTGTGTGCTGCAGGTTAAGCACTCCTAATTTGAAAACCTGAAATCCTTCAAAATCCAAAATTTTTTGAATGCCAACAAGAGATCACAAGTAAAAATTCTGTACTTGACCTCATGTGACATGACACAGTCAAGATATGGTCACACTAAAAATACTATATAAAATTACTTTCAGACTGTGTGTAAAATGAAACAAAGGAATGTTCTGTTTAGATGTAGAACCCCTCCCTAAGATGTCTCATTATGTATGCTTAAGATATTTCAAAAATTGAAAAATCTGGGCAGGTGTTGTGACTCAGTCGGTTCACTCGGGGCAATCACATCCCACGTCAGAGCGCTGGTTGTCATCCTAGCTGCTCCACTTCCTGCTGACGTGCCCGGGAAGCAGCAGATGATGCTCCTGACACACAAATGGAGACCCAGATGGAGTTCCTGGCTCCTGGCTTCTGCTTGGCCCAGCCCCAGAAGTGTGGCCATTAGGAGAGTGAACCAGAGATGGAATATTTCTGTTTTTCCCTCTCTCTCCTTTCAGATAAATAAATAAACAAATAATTTTTAAAAATTGAAAAAATCCAGAACACTTCTGGTCCCAAGTATTTCAGATAAGGGATACTGACCTTGTTATGCAAAGCAGCTCCAATCTATTCAGCTACTACTCACAACAACCCCATGAGGCAGAAAATTTTATCTCCACTTAGAATCAAGAAATGTTCGAGCAGGCATTTGTCAGAGAGGTTAAGATGCCTCGTAGGTTGCTCACATCCTGTATCAGCGGTCCTGGGTTGGAGTATCAACTCTGCTTCTGAATCCAGCTTCCTGTTAATGAGCACCCTGGGAAGCAGCAGGTGATGATTCAAGAACCTGGGTCCCTTCCCCACAAGTGGGAGACCCGGTTTGGGTACCTGGCTGCTGGCTACTACCTTGCCCAGCCCCAGCTATTATGAGCATTATGGGGAATGAACCAGCAGATGAAAGCTTTCCCTCTCTGTCTCTCTTTCAAAGAAAACGAAAATAAATAATTTTTAAAGCATCAAAAAAATGTGAGGGTTGAAAGGGGCCTTTAGAGTCACAGATTCTAACTCCCTCACTTTAAAGAAGATGTAAGCACACCCCAGCGAGGCTAAGTGCTCGTGAGAGGCCACATGCTTCACTGGAAGCAGAATTCATGTCTCCTAACTGTCACTTTGGACTCTTCTGCACAACACTCCCTCCTCCTCCAAAGACAGAACTAGGAAAAGATGGAGGGAAAGGCACACCACAGGAAAAGGACAAAAGGTAGACTCAGACGTCCACTTTGCTGATTATTAAAAGATAAAACCAAAGCATTTTATTATAAAAGAACTACAATCGTATCAAGAGATGAAGAGAGAGGCAGGGATTGTGGCACAGCAGGTTAAGCCATGGCTTGGGATGCCTGCATCTCATATCAGAGTGCTGGTTCAATTCCCTGCTACCCTGCTTCCAATCCAGCTCCCTGCTAATGCTCCAGGGAAGCGGTGGATGATAGTTCAAGTATTTAGTTCCTACCTCCTGGTTTTGTCTGGCCTAGCCCCAGCTGTTGCAGCCATTTGGGGATTGAACATAGTAGATGGAAGATCTCTCTCTGCCACTCTGTCTTTTAGTAAGTAAATAAATCTTTAAAAAATAAAAAAATAATTCCATTCTACTACTCTAATACAATTATTATCTTTGTGGTGCCTTGTAGTTCAAGTCTCTTTTAAGCACCTGCTTTTTCTATAACTACATAAAAATTCATATTTCATGAGCTTTTTTTCTTCATAGTATTGCACAGATTTTATAACCATGATTTTTAATCACTTCACAGTTGGGTTCCTGACAACATAGATTGCTTCCTTCTTTTGGGCTAATATTAATAAGACTGCAATAGACATCAAGGTGCAAGGCCATTTTTCTCTTGTGAATTATTATTTAAAATGCCTGCAGGGTCTTCCTCTGTACATTCCCTCACTTGTTGCTCTAAAGAAGCCCTGCCAAGAGTCAGCAAGACATGGATGCTCAAAGCTGGGCCAAAGCAGCATCTGTTCCTTTCTTTCACTGTCTCTTAAACCAACCACCCCATGGCAAAGTACTCAAAGTATTTTTCCACTCAGGAAACACGGAGAAGGTTTATAATTCCCAGGACAATGGATACCTCCATCCAGCTAAGAACTATAGTGAATAGCAGCTGATTGTGCAATCACCCTAGATATGCATTCATTATTATTATCCTTCAACATTGCTTCTTATCCCAGCCCCGCTACTGTCAGTTTGTATGACAGGGGTTTCAAAAAGTTCATGGAAAAATGGAATTGAAAGAACTTGAACGTTTTGAAGCCCCCTCATGGTCTCGGATGATCACTTTCTAGCATGGGCCTCAGCTTCCAATTCCATAAAATGAGGGATCTGAATTGGATTGTAAGTTCCCTTCCAGTTACATCACGTAATCTTTTTTTAAAGTTCTTTTTCCAATACCAAGAAGAGCTTTATCTCTTGTTAAAAATAAAGAGAGTAGCTGTCTGCCACACGCCTGCAGGAAGACTGAGTTGCTGCAGAAATGAAGGTGTAAAGACACTGAACACACACTTAGCTGAGACTTAAAGAAGACAATCTATTTACGGCACTGCTTCCTTTCGGAGGGATGCAGGTTTTCTGGTTTAAGATGGGCGACAAAAATCTATTAGAAATCAATCCTCAGAAAGGTGGTTTCTTACTTTTCCTTCGTTCGTCTAGTAGTTGGACTCTCCCTGGGAATAAGAAAGCAGCTGTGACACTCTATCGGTTGGGTATGAGAAATGCCTTCCTCTATGACTATAAAAAAACTTCATCACTATCACTCATAAAAATGTGAGTACAGAATAAAGGTCACTTACTAAAGGCCAAAGCGTGATGTGCCTGAGTATGCAGACACTGCAGAATTCAGTCAGGAAAGGGGTTCTGATGTCATACTCAGTCAATATGGAAAAGCAGACATGCCCAATTTCTAAACTGACAGGCTGGCCCAAACTAGTGGATACTCAGATGCTCCAGAACCCAAGGGGATAAGGCCATTATAAATGGTTCCAGGAAGCAGGCCCTTGAAGGGTGTTGAATGGTAGACCTGAACGGTGTGGTTCCTAACACTAGCCAAGACAAAGAACAGACACAGCACTGGATGCAGGGTAAAGGTAGAGGCCCACTGAAACTTCTAGAGGCTGGAAAGGGCACAGTAGATCAAACTGTTCCTTGAAGAGGGAAAGGGGATTATTAGCTTGAATCCTATCTACGTCCTTGACTGTTCAGCAGTGGCACTGACAATGAACAGCTTTTTCTGCCAGCCTAATTTCACATTGATAAATTAGGATGTCCATCTCATCTGTAACCTAGAATCATTTTTATAAAAGCCTTTACCTTCTACAGAATATCTCACACTGTCTCCTGCATATGTCTAGCAAAGTTCAAGTATTTAAACCACTAGAGTGGGGAAGCAACCCAGCCCTAATTCAGAGGCCCCCTCATGGCTGCTGCCACCTCCTTTCTGCCCCTGTCTTAGCCCTCACTGCATACTCTTCTTCTGCCTTTGTGCTCTGTGCCCTGGTTGAGCCTTACCGCTGGCTCCTGGGCAGGGGATGGCTGTGTGGCTACAGTCGGCTGTGCCTGGGGCTGCTGGATGGCTGCCACGGCGGCCTTTTGCTGCAAGGCAGCCTGCTGAGTCATCAGCTGTTGTTGATGCAGGGCTGTGGCCAGCTGCTGCTGCTGCTGCTGCTGCTGTTGCTGCTGCTGGTAGAAATTCTGTATGAGCTGCTGTTGAGAGCCTCCTTGGGATACCACCGGGAACTGAGCAATGGCTGGTTGCTGGGTTGTTGGATGTACTGCCTGAAACTGAGCAGGACAAAGTGGCAAGAAATGAGGAGGTGACTAACATGCTATTCTGGAATTACATTCACAAAACACGAATACCTCTGTGTGACAGTGACCAGTGCTGAGGCTAAAGGCAAGAAAGGTAGGCCTGCGAGCAATATGGCAGCACTTTACACCGCCAGGCCCTGCCACTGCACTAGGCTAGTCTTCCAAGAGGGCTTCTAGACCTAGCCTGAGCAAAGTTGACTAAATACCATGTGACTTTAGAATCTGGAGTGTCACAGAAGCTAATATATGATTTCCCAGTCACAGGAGCAATCCCTACTTCTTTCTACAGGGGCAAAGTTAAAGGGTAAGCGAAAAAGCAGATATCAAAAACTAGCTGCCTATCCATAACAACAAATGCTGGAAAAAATCTCAAATGTCTATCAACAGGAGACTGAACAAATGGTGATACACCCTCAAGGATACATTAAATAAAACACTTCTAGCCCAAAAACAGGAACCAGGGTTACCCATACGTATGAGCCAGAGGCCAAAGATTTTTAAAGATTTAACTTTGAAACAATGCCAGTGTTTTACATATTCATAAAGACAGCTGAAAATTTAAAAGCAATAATTAAAAACAGCACAATGAAACCAATAAACCTGTGTATCAAATTGGTAGCTAAACTCCCCAGAAAATAATACACTAAACTGTCTAAGGGTCAAAGGGACAAAAAATTTTAAACTGTTTTCAGTAATATATTGGTATTGGTATTTTGAAATGACAAGTCAATTAATTAACAATGTTAATGTTGTTAGGAATTAAGATTTTCAGATGAAAAAATAAAACAAAATCCACAAAGTTAAACAAAAATCCTGTAGTTACAAATCTGAACTCATACTGTGTATTCTTTAACAAAACATAACATTTTCTAAATGTCCTGAAAAGGCCTAGAAACAACAACTAACTCATTAATAAGTGAGGATCTCTAGCCTCAAAACTATGGTTTCTAAATATCATTTCCATTAAAAAGAAACAGAGCATCCTAGAGAAATGAATGATTCCAGGTGTAAGGCAGTGATCTTGAAACAGCTTATTATTCTAGGTAGCAAGGACACTATTAGAGGCCACTGGAGCCACATCCAAAGGACCCATAGCCAATCTGAAGAGACTTCCACCGGTCAACACTGGGACAACAATGTTGACCAACACAAGTAAGTTTTTTAAAACTTCAATGTATTAATAGATAACAAATATGGTAAAATCCATAAATTCATAAATATACTAAACAAAAGAAGACAAAAAGCTTATTGCTCATCTTTGGATAATACTGGGGAACAATGAATTATTCTGAAGACTGGGAAACAAAGGAAAACACTCAAGTATTTTCCCTGTCTTTTCTGTTCAAACAGCTTCCTCACAGGGTAACTAAATAGTTGATGCGAAAATTCTCCATAGAAAAATCCTAGCCCCTAAACAAAGAAGAAGTCCTGCAATATTATTTTGCCATTCCTAATGAATTAAGAGACTTAAGACCACCAATGGCTTCTAAGATAATGGGGAACATTAAACAAATGGATCAAACACATGGATTGATCTTTTTAAGAGAGGCAATCAGATATTACAGTCCTCCTGATACGATGCCACAGGAAGAGGAAGAGCAAAGAAATGTCAAACAGAATAAAATATTGTGCAAGTCTCAAGAAATGACCAGTTTACACAGAGAAGGGAGGAACAGATCAAATGATACCACAGAGATACAATTAGCCAAATCTAGAATGTGGAAAATCCTATAGGACAAATAATCCAGTGTCTTAAAAAAATAATTTGTAAAGAGAAAAAAAAGAGGGAGAGAAATCCTATGTATGAAAGAGGACTTAAAAGCTATAGCAATTGCCGGCGCCGTGGCTCAACAGGCTAATCCTCCACCTTGCGGCGCCGGCACACCGGGTTCTAGTCCCAGTTGCCCCTCTTCCAGGCCAGCTCTCTGCTGTGGCCAGGGAGTGCAGTGGAGGATGGCCCAAGTGCTTGGGCCCTGCACCCCATGGGAGACCAGGAGAAGCACCTGGCTCCTGCCTTCGGATCAGTGCGGTGCGCCGGCCGCGGCAGCCACTGGAGGGTGAACCAACAGCAAAAGGAAGACCTTTCTCTCTCTCTCTCACTGTCCACTCTGCCTGTCCAAAAAGAAAAAAAAAAAGCTACAGCAATCATTACACAATGAATTTGTCCACTGTGAAAAACTAGAAAAAATAGTGGAAAACAAAACAATATAAATCAACTAAAATTAATACCTGGACTTTGGATCCTGATTCAAACAAACCAACTTAATTTACGAGACATAAGAAATAGTTAAACACTGTGGCTTAGCAGGTAAAGCCTCTGCCTGCAGTGATGACATCCTATATGGGCACTGGTTTGAATCCCAGCTGCTCCACTTCTGAACCAGCTCCTTGCTAATGTGCATGGGAAAGCAGCACCCACATGGGAGACCCGGAAGAAGCTCCTGGCTCCAGATCGGCCCAGCCCCAGCCATTGTGGCCATTTGGGGAGTGAACTAGCAGATGAAAGGTCTATCTCTCACTCTCTCTCTGTAACTCTGCCTTTCAAATAAAATAAATAAATCTTAAAAAAAAAAAAAGAAATAAAACACCACTGGATGTTTGACAACAGTAAGAAATTATTATTATTTATTCCCCCAATATAGTATAGTAATGGTGGTATAGTTAGGTTAGCAAAAAAACAAACAAGGAAACAGAGAATCTTTAGAAAATAGCTCCTTCAGCAAGATTCCTCAATCAGCTGATAGATTGCTAATGGCCTGAGAAGGGTGGTGAAAGGGTGGGAATGAGTGATGAAGAAACAATGGTAGAACGGTTAACAGCTCTCTGTCTCCCCAAGGGAGACCCTTGTACCTAGCGGGCCTGTTCACCGTCACGACTCAGCTCTGCACAGCAAGGCTCACGCTGGCCACCTCACCTGCTGAGTCTGGGCCTGCTGCTGCTGCTGCTGCTGCTGCTGGTAGAATGTGCCCGCTGGCTGTTGTGGCGCTGGCTGCTGCGCTGGCTGCTGCGCTGGCTGCTGCTTGAGGAAGAGCTGCTGCTGGTGCTGAGGAGTAGCCTGGGCCTGAGTGGGCAGACCCTGGGCCTGAGTGGAAGGCGTCTGCTGTGGGGTAGGCGGAGCCTGTGGCTGTTTGGGCTGAGGCTGTGGCAGAGGCTGGCTAGGTTGGGGTTGGGCTTTTGGTTGGGGAACACTGGCCAAAAGGCCAGGCTGATTGCTGGATCCTGCAGAGAGAATAAACTCCATGTAAGGGCTTAAAACTTTTCCAGATCCAAACAGCTTTCTCTCTTGCCAACAAAATAAAGAAGAGGTTAAGTGGGCAAATATCCCAAAATCCACGGGAGCTCCTCACTGCTTTTCCACGTGCTTTGTCCCACCTGGGACGTCTTTCCACCCTCTTGATAAACTCTTCTCCTCAAAACAAGGTTCAGTAACAAGGCTCAAAATGAGTACACCTCCATCAGTAAGTCCTCTGTTATCCATCATCCCATTGAGTCAATTGCTCAGCACGCTGAGTATCTGTCTGCATCAGAGGTGGGGAACCCTTTTCCTGCCAAGGGTCATTTGAATATTTATAACATCATTTGCAGATCATATAAAATTATCAACTTAAAAATTAGTCTGCCATACATTTATTGAATTTCAAGTCTCGCCTGTGGTGGCCTTGGCAGGGCCAGACCACACAATTTCATGGCCTTTATATGGCCTATGTGCTGGACATTCCCCACTCTGATACATTTTCTTTCTTTTTTTTTTTTTTTTTTTATTAGTTCTTCTGATACATTTTCTACTGGCCTCTGATGCTACTGCACATAGACACAATCTTGGCACCCACAGGCATGAGATTCTCGGATGCTTTAAGTGTTGCTTACACAACCCCAGTCTGGATGCCTGACTATAAAAGTAGATGGCCACCAAATTCACCTTTTTTTTCTTAGAAAACTTTTATTTAATAAATATAAATTTTGAAAGTACAACCTTTGGATTATAGTGGCTTTTCCCCCCATAACCACCCTCCCACCCACAAACCATCCCATCTCCTACTCCCTCTCCCATCCTATTCTTCATTAAGATTCATTTTTAATTATCTTTATATACAGAAGATCAACTTAGTATATACTAAGTAAAGATTTCAACAGTTTGTACCCGCACAGAAACACAAAGTATAAAGTACTGTTTAAAGACTAGTTTTACCATTAATTCTCGTAGTACAACACATTAAGGACAGAGATGCTACATGGGGAGTAAGCACACAGTGACTCCTGTTGTTGGTTTAACAACTGACACTCTTATTTATGACGTCAGTAATCACCCGAGGCTTTTGTCACGAGCTGCCAAGGCCATGGAAGCCTCTTGAGTTCATAAACTCCGTCCTTATTTAGACGAGGCCATAATCAGAGTGGAAGTTCTCTCCTCCCTTCAGAGAAAGGTACCTTCTTCTTTGATGGCCCGTTCTTTCCACTGGGATCTCACTCACAGAGATCTTTCATTTAGTTCAATTTTTGCCACAGTGTCTTGGCTTTCCTGCCTGAGAAACTCTCATGGGCTTTTTAGCCAGATACGGATGCCTTAAGGGCTGATCCTGAGGCCAGAGTAAATTCGCCTATTTTTATAGCTTCCTGATGGAGATTGTGAATTAATCCTCTATGAAACAAACCTCTCACCTCATTAGAAACAGAATACCAAATCATGGAGAGGCCCTTTAAGAGATTTTATAACAGACAAAGCATTCAACAATATTCCTTTGTGAGCATCAAAAAAAAAGGTGAGTTTCACTTCTTTAAAAGAGATAGGAATGGACTTATCACAAAATCTGGGACAAGACTAGGAAAAACAGGCTTTAGTGGTCTTGGAAATGCATCTCAGAATTCAGTGAGGGTCTCTCCTTTTGCCACACCATTTCACCACTTCCTTTTCTTGAAGGAAAGCCATTATTCTACATGAGTCCTCTGGATTCCATCCCTAAAGCAAAGCCATGCTACCTAAAGACTTCCCTGTTATCCAGGAAAACAAAGATATATCCAGCCTCACAGCAGTCCAATTACTGACCTGCAGCCTGAGGTGGGGGCTGCACTGTGGCCCTCTTGCGAGGTGTCAACGCTGGCTGGATGGGAAGGATTCCTGGGTTTGGCTGAGTCTGCCCAGCTTTAGGCCTCTGGCGGGGTGCAATTGAAGTCTCTGTGGTGGGAATGGGATCTGTCAGTCTAGAAAAGGAAATGAAAAAAAGATTCACGTTAGAGTGTGGGCAAGAGGGAGAGAGCTAGGAAGAGTTCATGATGCTTCCTGTGACACTCATCCAAATCTTCCTAAGCCAGTTAATCCACTTCCCAAAGGACAGCCCACAGGATGCTGGTGTGCTACTAAACGTTCTGGAAAGGCTTAGTGGACAAGTATGTTTTTAACACAATGACCAAGATATGCTGAACAGATTTCTTTCCAGCAGAACTCTTCATGTGTGAACGTACATGGAGAATCTCAAAGAGAACACGATACAGAAGCCTTTCCAGCTTACTGTATCTTGGGACACTTGTATCCAAACCACATGGGGTATCCCAGAGTACGATTCATGTGGTGATGCAAAGAGGGGTTTGAGGTGGATGGTTTTCTGATGCAGAGGGAATTCAGACTTGGTTAGAACTAACAGCCAGGGCCGGGTCAGTGTTGTGGCATAGTGGCCTGCAATGCCAGCATCCCATATACACATTGGTTTGAGTCTCAGCTGCTCCACTTATGATCCAGTTCCCTGCTAATTGCCTGGGAAAAGCAGCAGAAGATGGTCTAAGTGACTGGGCCCTGGCAACCCATGAAACTCCTGGCTCCTGGCTTCAGCCTGGGCCAGCCCTGGCCACTGCTGCCATCTGAAGAGTGAATTAGCAGATGGAAGATCTCTCTGACTCTTCCTTTCTCTCTCTCTTTGGAACTCTTTCAAATAAATAAATACATCTTTAAAACATAAATATTTTAAAAAAAAGAACTGTCAAAATGGTCTCTCTACAATGAAAACCATGGGAGTGAGTGAATTCTACATGGCAACTGAAAGGAGTAAGTTTGAGCCGTTTAAGAGAAATTCCATTTCCTCCAACACACAGACTCCCTGTTCTCCACAGTAGTAACTTTTTCAGCATCACATTGCCCGACTTTGTGTGTGCCCATGTATCTAAGTTGTGGCTTTACACAGGATGTAAGCAGATTCTTATGTGGCAGTTCCTAGAAAGCTTAAGAAATAAGGTTTAAGAAGTAAGTAGTTCGTGTCCATTGTCTCACTTCCTTAGCCACTCCTGGACACTGCCTCACTGCTCTGTGAATTCATGGCTCATCTGTGAATTCAGGGTGAGCCTTCTGCCTGGGCCCCTAAGGGCTTCATGAAACGAAACAGCCATACCAGCCCTGGCCTACTTACTGCCACGCTTTGTTTACTTCAGAGAGAAAAATAAATAAGTAAACGTTCATCTCCTACAAGCCACTGCACTGTGGCCCTCTTGCAAGGTGTGTAACTCACAAAGTCCACACCTAACACACAGGGAGGACCGCTGCGTGGCTGCTTGCTTCTGCTGCAGCCCATGTGCCAATTTCTACCCATTCACAGCCATCCGGGGGCTGCTTTTGCCTAACCCAGGGCAGAGCTCCTGCTGTCCTTTGAAACTGCACTTTAGGGAGCATAAATGAAGCTAAAGGCCCAAACAAACAAATTTCATGAATATTCCCAAAATACGCTGGCACTTCCTCCATGAAATGCAAAACAGAAAGCAAAGCAGGTGGCACCATGTCTTTCCCCATGACACAATTCCAAAGAGTCTCCATCTTGGACCCAAAAACTTTTCACTGGCATCCTGTTAGGAGGTGCTTTTGTGCTGGTTGGAGCACTGGTCATACAAATGCTATCTCATGTGGGCAGGCTGCAGCCTGGGGAACCCAGGAGGAAAGGAAGATGGGGCAGATAATGCTGGGGGAGTGAAGTGTAATAAAGAAAGATCCAGGGGTGAGGGAGGTGAGCAGATGTCCATCGAAATTCAAATATGAGAACCCCCACCCTGGTCCTCCCCTGAGGGGAACAAGAGTCAAGCTAAACTGCATTTGAGCTTTAGCTCCTCACTAGCTACGTATGTGGTGAGGAGTATGTTGTGTAACCTCCTTCAGCTTTGGGTCCCTTATGAGGAAAATGGAAAGACACATAGACCTACGTTCACAGATGGGGAAACACACGTATGCCTGCATCACACAGCAGATGTGGACATCAAGTGCATTAATGACTGTGAAACCACTTCATCAACTGTAGCCTGTCCAAAATGTCAGTTTCTATGGGCCTCAATGTGTGTGCTTTGTGGGAAAGTAGAAAGAGGTCCTTGGTTAGACTCTACAGACTATGTCTATGCCTAGTACAAGATGGCTATAAACCCAAAAGACTAAGGATCAGGGTGGGGAACGAGGCCAACCAAAAGCCAGGACACACGGTTAGTACACTCTTGTACCGGCAACATTTAGAGCCTGCCACTGCCTCATCTCCCAATACCCCTGTGCCTATTCCCAGGCTCAAGAAACAGCTGTGGAGTTCTTGGTTCTCTTTCAAATGTAGATCACAGTATTTCATTATATTCCTCTCAAACAGTTTCTGCCTAGGGCAGACACAATTTCCTTTCCTGATCTGTGCACCCTCGGGTCATGGCAGCTAAAGAACTAAGAAACACAAGGCAGGACCCCCCTGCTGCCATGGCAACCAGAGCAGCACAGGTGCTCACAAAGGCATTTCTTACCTGGCCTTTGGCTGGGTCTTTTTTGCAGCTGCCTCACTGGCTTTCACTGGTTCAGGAAGCTTTGCAGGAATGGAGGAGTTCTATAGAATTGGAGGGGGAGGAAAAGGACATCAAAGATTTCTTTGTAAAACACAATAGCCAGCCTGAGTAGGACTGACGCGCTGGGAGAAGACCACGGTCACTCAGGGTGTGTGGTTGCTGAGCCAGCATCCCCTCCCCACAGGGGAGGCAGCAGTCAATCCACAAGCTGAGCTGAGTTCCTCCAGCCTGGATTCTGCACCATCCAATACTGCCTCTTGAGGAAGCATCAACCAGCTGTCCCTACCCACAAAACAACTGTTTACCATTGCTGAGAGAGGACAAATGACATGAGACTTCTAACATACACTCTTAAAAAACTAGTTACCAAATGAATGCTTCCAATTATATTTCATGTTATTTAACTTTACGAGTGGCAAAGTGGGACTGCAAAAGCAATATACCATAAAATACCCGTAGTATTAACTGGGAAACCTGGCAAACAATACTAGTTATGTAAAACTGGATTTGCAGGGTTAAGCATTTCACGCAGAGGTTAAATTGCTTTTAGAGACACCTGCAACCCCCTTCAGAGTGCCTGGGTTCAGGTCCTGAATCTACTTCAGATCCTAGATTCCTGTACTGTGCACCCTGGGAAACACCAGGTGGTGGCTCAAGTGGCTGGGTCGCTGACATCCACGTGGGAAATCCAGTTTGAGTTCTAGACTCCTGGCTTTGGCCTGGCCCAGTGTTAGGAAACTGGAGCAGTTTTATCTATGGCACAATCTACACCCTGATTTACATCCTAGGCTGAAAGCCAGGTGGCCACGTGGCCCAACCGTTGTTGTCAAGCTCCACTCCCATCCTAATGGGATTCACAGCTCCTACTTCCCTGCCCGCCCTCTGGCAAAGATTTAAAAGGGCCTGTTCCAACACATAGCTCTCTTGGCTTCTCTTCTCTCCTGCTTACTCTCTCTAGCCTTCTCTTTTCTCTCACTCCCCTCTCTCCTCTCCTCTCCTTCTCCCTCTTCGCCCCTTCCCTCCAGTCTGCTGGATTTTCCCCCAATAAACCCTTTCCCTTACTCCGGTGTTTGGTATGCTTTGTGACGGCTAACACCCAGTCCTAGCTATTGTGAGCACTTGGGGAGTGAACCAGCAAGTGAAAACTAACTCTCTCTCTCCCTCTCCTTGCATTTCAGTTAAAGAAATAAATGTAAAAAAAAATTTGGGGGTGCTGGCACTGTGGCACAGCGGGTTAATGCCCTGGCCTGAAGCGCCCGCATCCCATCCAGCTCTCTGCTGTGGCCTGGGAGGGCAGTGGAAGATGGCCCAAGTGCTTGGGCCCCTGCACCTGCATGGGAGATCTAGAAGAAGCTCCTGGCTCCTGGCTTCAGATCGGCCCATCTGGGGAGTGAACCAGTAGATGGAGGACTTCTCTCTCTGTCTACCTTTCTCTGTAGCTCTTTCAAATGGATAAAATAAATCTTTAAAAAAATTTTTTTAAACTGGCTTTTTAGGAGGATTCTCTCATTTCCTTTGTGTTTCCAGGTAAGGGGAATTTCTACTTAAAACAAAAACAAAAACAAAACCACTTCATCCTTTAAGCAGTCATCTCCTAAGGAAGAAGAGGAAATTGATGGATAATCCTGGGAGAGGAAAGTGAGCTTGTCTGGCTCACCTCTGTCTTCCTTGTTTTGTGGGACAGCCTGTCCCTCAGGGAATCAGGCATCTACACCTCAGGCAGTGTGTCTAATGTTAGGAAGCCTGACTGGTCAGGCTACGTCCTCTGATTCAACCATATTGGTAATAAAGCCAATATTCTCAGTTCCAACTGGATGAGTTCTGCATATAATTCCAAATGTGGGAATGAAAGAGGAAGGCTATTTATCGGCACCCTTAAGTCCCAGTTGAGACATCAAATTTTATTAATGGAGAAAGTAGAAAACTTCAGGTGAGGCTCTATTACAGTAAACTATTCACGAGAACTGGATCATAATATGACATGAAAATATACCAGGATGGTAAAAGGGGTGTTTCCAAGCATTTTATTTTGAAAACTGAGAGCACAGTTTTAAGATTACTAGGTATAGAAAATATTCTTATGGCCTGTTATGTGTAGAGGAAAAACAAGTGTGATTATAGATTAGCCAACAACAAGCAAAATCAAGAATGCCCTGCTGCAAGGAAAGACAGCAGAGAGGAGAAGCTCCAACTGCATCAGGCACGGGGCGAGGGCAGGGCCTGCTTCAGGAGAGCAGCCTGCGGAGCACCTCCAGTGAACACAGCAGGCACGTGGCTCTCAGTGAAAAGATGACAAGACAGGAAGTTGGACACTCTTCAGCCAAAGTGTTCAACTCATTCCCTTGGGCACTTTTTTGTTCAGTGTAATTGCCTTGATTTGATAATTAAATTCCAAGGGAAAAGTAGATTCCCTTTATAGCAATTGCTTCATAGTTAGCATAGTCTGAATGACCCCAGGAGATAAAGCAAGGAACATCTGTATTCATTTAAATAGCTGATTAACACCCCAGGAACTGAAAATGGCAATTTGATAACGTTTACTTCCCTTAAAAAGCATCATTGACATACCTGTACATTTGGAATTGGGCATTCTTTCTTGAGCAGTTTAAATGAGAAGTAGGAGACCTGGTAAATATCTGGTCTTTTGTCGGGGTCTGGCTCCAACATATACCCTAAGACAAACATGTGAATGTATTTCATTACATCCTAATAATTATTACATTAGCTAGGAAACAATTTCTTTCTTGGCTACCAAAGTCTATTGTTTTTAAATTCTTTCCTCATAAAAATCAGACAGTACAATTAGCCCTTTCTTCCACTCTCAAAAAGGGCAGTTTTAACTTCTTTAAAATATTTAATATCCACAAGAAGATAAAGTATGTGCATTTTAACAAAGACACTTGAAGTTCATACTATCCTGCTAAACAAGTCATCATTCTTGATAATTATAATTAAAATCCAAACCTCATGAACTTATATATTACTCTTTTATGGGAGATATTAGCTGATTTCCAGTTCAAAAGAAATTAAAAGTTAATACATAAAGATCTACTTTTACTGCCATCTATAGATCACACAACTATTTCCAGGTCCTGGAAGCTTCCGCCCTCTCTGGGAAACTTATCAGGGAAAAAAACACCTTGAGAATACACAAAAACACACATCTACATATACAAACAACAATGCAAGGTAGTTTGCTGCTTGGGTGATAAATGAATGGTTCAGACACTCAGTTCAGAAAAGACCAGTGAGGCTGCAGCCTTGGGAGAGCTTTCCGAAGAGGCAGGACTGAATCTAGTTAGGCAGGGGGAAGGCAGAGAAAAAGTCACTCCAGGCGAGAGGGCAGCCTAAGCAAAGCACAAGTTGGAACAAGGCAGGAGAATGCCCTGCTATAAGGCAACGGCAGAGCCAGAGGGACAGGGTGGAGAGGAGGCTGGGTGGGTGGGATGGAAGCAGACGGGAAGGGAGGATCTGAAATGCCATGCTGTGGGATCGCCAGCAAGCTGCTCAAGTTTACTGAACAAGGACATTTTGCTGAGAGGGTCAGGTCTTGTAAGAATTGATCTCATGGTAGGGGTGTGTTGCACTGACTACAGCGAGAACAGCTGGTGGCCAATCCACCAGTGCAGGCATGAGGCAGAGTCTGTCTATATTGTTGTGATGGAGATGAGAACAGACAGAATAAAATGAAAATAGCAGAAACTCAAGGGGAAAAAAAAGAAAGAAAAACAACTAGTTCTTGCTCTCCTCTTGCTAGCCAGATCCAAAGAAAATCTTACATATCGCTCACTGGTGTTTGATTGCTGATACCACTGAGAGAAACTGAAAAGAGGGGAACCTGGTATTGGGGAGTAAAAGGGAGGGAGGGACAATGATCATAAACTGAATTTTAGATTTGTGAGTTTAAGGTAACAACTGAATCTTCAAATAGTTCACAAACTAGAATGCTGTATGGGGAAGATGTCAATGGTAGAGAAATTCATAATTAGTTGTTTTTCCCGTTATAAATTTACTGAATAAATGTTAAAAAGGAAAAAAATAATAATACCCAAAAAATCCTACCAGTCTAACATCGAATTTGGCCATTTTCTCACATTGTCTTCTAATCTCATTTACTTAGCTGCAACTCTAGAACAGACATAATGCTTTACCTCTGAAAAAAATCCAACAATCATTAAATGCCATAACCTATTTCTTTAAATACTCATTCTTTTTTGTTAATGAATGGAAGAAACTGATGGATAACACTGGTACAAAGGAATGAGTAGTCACTTACAGACTCTAACTATGTTAACTTGGGTCAGTTACCTACACTTTCTTGGTTTCAGATTCCTCATTTGCATAACAGGGGTAACTAATTATGTTTGATATATACATTAAGAATTAAATAAGAGGCCAGAAGGTTAAGCCGCTGCCTGTGACGTCAGCATCCATGTAAGCTCCCTGCTAACATGCCTGTTCAGAAGGCAGTAGAAGATGGCCCAAGTTCTTGTGTCCCTGCCACCATATGGGAAACCTAGATGAAGTTCCAGGCTCCTGGCTTCAGCCTGGCCCAGTCCTGACTAATGTGGCCATTTGAGGAGTGAACCAACAAATAGAGGACCTCTCTCTCCCTCTCTCGCTTTCTCTCTCTCTTTTAAATAAATCTTAATAAAAATGAAAAGTATTAAGTGAGGTACAAATAGGTCCTCAACAAATGTCAAGTACTCCACCCCACAGCAGCCGCTTCTATTGTTTTCTACTGTTATCCCTTCCCAAGATCCAAACTGGGATGCTCAGGATTTAAAATCTGTAACAGTTATGGGGCCAGTGTTGTGGCATAGTGGGTAAAGCTGCTGTCTGTGATGTTGGCAGCCCATAGTGGCACCAGTTTGTGTCCCAGCTGCTCAACTTCCAATCCAGCTGCCTGCTAATGACCTGGGAAAAGCAGAAGATGGCACAAGTGCTTGGGCCCCCATCTCCCACTGGAAGACCCAGATGAAGCTCTGGGCTCCTGGCTTCAGCCTGGCCCAGCTCTGGCCACTGCAGCCATCTGGACAGTGAACCAGAGGATGCAAAATCTCTCTCGCCTCTCTCTATAACTCTGATTTTCAAAATAAATAAATCTTTTTTCAAAAATCTAAAACAGTTAAAACCTAGATGCCAAATGTCTTGACCATTGTGGAAAAAAGATCAAATCTGTTTCTTTAGCATTTTAGTACAGGGCTTTTGTGAAGATTATTCTACCATCTGGTTAATGAAGGTTAGTACATATGCTTGCTATGAGGATATGAAAGAGTGGGAGAATCTAAGCCTATTGTAAAAAAGCACTGAGTTTAGATGCTTGTCATCAAAATTCAATGATTAACCTAAATGAGAGGAAAAACCAGGATCCATGGAGTTATACAGTCTTAATGATACATTCACTCCAGCCAATGCAGTGCAATCATGTTTATTTGAGTCGCTTCCAGTTTTACAAAGATGGATTTCTTATCACTTGATCTGAGTCAGCTGGATTCCTTTGGTACCAAAGCTTTCACACAGACTGCATCAGAACACTACTCATAGCACAGTTAGGATCTCTGCCTGGGCAGCTGGCTTAGGTAAGAAACAGAGTTTAGATTCCTAGCAAAGACCCACCACTCTATCCACACCTTAGCTTTGAGCTCCAAACCACTATCAGCTAATTTCTTTATCTTGATATCCAATCCATTACTCCTGGAACTTCTTAATTCCTTTATCCTCCATTCATTCCTACTGATTAGAAATAAAAATACGAAACTCCTCTCTCTCTCTGCCTCTCCTCTCTCTGTGTAACTCTGACTTTCAAATAAATAAATAAAATCTTTAAAAAAATGATGAAACTAGAAACTTGAATACTTACTAATTAGGCAGTGCATGTCTTGAGAATATCGAGAGTTATCAGGAATTGTGAAGCTTCCATCACAAATCGCCACCTGACTCTCCCCAAATGGCAAAGTGAAGTAGCATAATTTATACAACAAACATCCAAGAGCCTAAAAAGTAAAGAAAGCAGATTGCTATTAGTGGTTTATTTACCATGATTGTAAATGGCTCAAACAATAGATACCAGCACCATCCACATTTACTAACAGATGTAAAAACTCTTTGCTCTCAATCTATCAGAAACTTGAATTTAGAGCCCAATTCCATGACTTAGCAGGTGAGTCCCATTATTTCTGTCATTATCACCAAACTGGGCTCTCCTAAAGAACAAGTAGTTCACCCAGTTTGCTCTTAATAGCTAGTAATATAAAATGTGAGAAAATACCTGAACAATTTTCTCAGAGCTCTGATGCAATTTCCTTTGTTTTGCTACAAGAAGCAGTAGTTGGTCCCTTCAGATCAAGAACCCAAGGGGTAGGCAGATCATGATATGGTACAGGTGCCACCATGCTATTACATTGTCTGCATTGAACTTAGGAACCTATAGTCAAGATTGCTGACATCTTGGGTGTGGACAGGTTAGTTGACACCTACCCAAATGTCTGCCTTCGTAGTGATGATTTTGCCACTGTACAGGTTGACCATTTCTGGTGCTCGATAGGACAGTGTTGTATATCTACAATCAAGAGATTCAGGTTTTGTTAAATATGTCAATGCTATAATTAAAAACCAGAAACAGCAGTAATAGTTTCTTTTCTTTTCTTTTTTTAAACACATGCAGTATAGAATCCAACTCCCTGGGAGTAATCTATAAAGGAAAGTATGAAATACCAGTGCAGATAAAAAGAAAAGCTTTCAGGGCCAGTTAATGCTGTTACCTGAAACACTGGCATTCTATATGGGTGCCAGTTTGAGTCTCGGCTGCCTCACTTCCAATCAAGCTCTCTGCTAAAGCACCTGGGAAGGCAGTAAAGAATGGCCCAACAGCTTGGGCCCCAGAAACCATGTGGGAGACCCAGAGGAAGCTCCTGGCTCCTGGTGGCCATTTGGGGAGTGAACCAGTGGATGGAAGATCTCTATCTCTCTGCCTCTCCCTCCGTTTCTGTAACTCTTTCAAATAAATAAAATAAATCTCGAAAACAAAAGAAAGAAAAGGGCCGAGCCGCGGCTCACTAGGCTAATCCTCCGCCTGCGGCGCCGGCACCCCAGGTTCTAGTCCTGGTTGGGGTGCCGGATTCTGTCCCGGTCGCTCCTCTTCCAGTACAGCTCTCTGCTGTGGCCCAGGAAGGCGGTGGAGGATGGCCCAAGTGCTTGGGCCCCTGAACCTGCATGGGAGACCAGGAGGAAGCACCTGGCTCCTGGCTTCGGATCGGTGCAGTGTGCCAGCCGTAGCGGCCATTTGGGGGGTGAACCAATGGAAGGAAGACCTTTCTCTCTGTCTCTCTCTCACTGTCTAACTCTGCCTGTCAAAAAAAAAAAAAAAAAAAAGAAGAAGAAGAAGAACATGTGGGGACTCAAGACACTGATGCACTAAATCCTTAAAAGCCACTTTTCTTGGGTGCTCAAGTGACAAAATCTCCTTCTACAAATCCTTGTTGCCCGAAGCTATATTTTGCTGATTTTTTTAAATGGTAAACCCTTTAAATGTGGCTCAACACAGAGATGCAACTCTGGCTAGGAAACTAAACAGTGAAAGTGGGCCCTGGCTGCAGTGGAGAGCAGACAGGATCAAGAGTCCCTGATCTTTGCTCCTGTAATGGGGCTAAAACAACAATTTTCCTCTAAATGGTTTTCTGACTCAAGATAAGAGTAGAATAAGCACATCCTCAAGTGAGCATCTTTGTATTAGCAACATGTGATTTGTGCTGCTTGAGTCTCTAGACCCCAGATGGAGCTGGTTTAAGTGTCCATCAAGGCTTAAGCCTGAAGTCTTCCTGCTTCAGGCTTGTTGCCTGGGTGATGGGTGATGGGTGAGGGGAGAGAAGGATCAGGGTACACATGTGTTGGTTAGGCTGCTGATTTCTTAGTAGTAACACTGCTGTTGCCTGTGAAAAATCCAACACTGTGGACAGGAAGGGAGAGTCAGGTTCTTACGAGAGCCACAAATCCAAAGAAGGTTTTTCTCACAGAAGCTGATGACTCAGTATCTGTAGAGACTTCAATAACCTACTCACCATTCATTTTACTAGATTGTGGATGAACTCCTTATAAGCAAGAAGCAAGCAGCAATTCCGAGTTCAGTGAAAGGCACATCTGTGACTGATAATGTCATGGTTGTCATAATTTATACTTAAAAACATGACAGTTCACTTATGATATGTGCTCCACTCAGATTCTTTTGGGACATGTGACACCATTAATCAAAATATCTTTGTGCAGTGACCACAGGATCATTGACAAAGTGCTCTAACAATCTTTCCTTTTACTATCCTGGTCAAATCTTTTTTTTTTTTTTTTTTTCAGAAAAAGATTTATTTATGTATTAAAAGGCAGAATTACAGAGAAGAGGTAGAGGGAGGGAGAGAAGAGAGAGAGAGAGAGAGATCTTTCATCCAAAGGTTCACTCCCCAACTGGCCACAATGGCTGAAGCTGGGCGGATCTGAAGCCAGGAGCCAGGAGCTTCTTCCAGGTCTCCAACACGGTTGCAGGGGCCCAAGGGCTTGGGCCATCTTCTACTGCCTTCCCAGGCCATTGCATAGCTGGATTTGAAGAGGAGTTGCTGGGACTTGAACCAGCGCTCATATGGGAAGCCAGCACTACAGGCAGCAGCTTTACCTGCTAAGCCACAGTGCTGTCCCCCCAGCCATCAAATCTTATAAGGACCCTTCTCTTCCTTCACTTAGAATCAAACAACCCAACAGTGGACATGCTGCTGCGAGAAGAAGGACAATTGACTAGCACCACCCATAAACTGACAGTGAACTTGCTTATCTGATAATGGACAAAACCGCAAAAAAGAAGAAAAAGCTTACTTCTTAATCTCATCTTCTACTGCATTGACTCCCTCAGTTTGTGGATTCTGGAATTTGTTGGTGGCACTTCCAAAGTCACACAGGACATAATGGCCTCGATCATGCAAGAGGATATTTTCAACCTGAAAGACATTCCCCAACCATCCATCCCAAGATATCATTTAGTCATGCATGTGAAAATTTGGTTTTATGGTCACATAAACAGTTTTATTTTTGGTACTCTCATTAGCGTGCACAGGAAAGTTATACTCCTTCAAGTATCTCAACAGGGGTCATCCCAAGTAGAATAAAAAGAGATGCATAATAACAGGACAAAATTGGGACAGACAGGGCAAAAGAGGAAACCCCACAGTGAAGAAAGCCAGAGTCCTGTTTCCCTAGGTTTTCAGTTATCTCTCTGCAGAAACAGTCCTCGTATCTTTGCCCTTGCCTTCTTCTAGCCTAGCATGCTCTACACGACCCCACTTCTTTATTCAACTACCAAAATCCCTCTTATCCTTCAAATCCTGGCCCCAAGGCCATGTCCTTTTTGAAGCCTTCCCTTAGGCCCTCACTCAGGCAAATGTCATTCCTTCCAATTTTCCTTTAATATTTCATTCTTCTATGATGTCTACTACGTCCTGGGGACCTTATAAATACACATAGTAGTCTTTACTACATGTGGCTGAGATTTCCAGGGTTAATATTTTTTATATTTTAGATACTTCTCAGTGACAAAATGCTTGAGGGTAAATGACAGTTTTGCTATGAAAGCATTACCCTAATTTTTTAAAAACTAAATGAATTCTCTGGATAGTGAGTTAAGAGTAGGAAGGAGCTTATAAAGACCAAAATCTAAGTAAATCCCTGGTATTGAAAAACTACTCCAAATTAGTGGGTACTATGTACTCCAAATGTACTAATTACTTTTTGGCATAGGTGAGCTGCACTAAGATACTAGGGGACAGACCTGGCTATGTGTGGGCAGTAAAATGGCAGCCAAAAAATCTTGTCAGGCCAATAATAATAATAATTAAACCTTCCAAAGACTAATTACCTTTGAAAACAAAGGCAAGAGTAGACTACAAGCTCCTTAAAGACAAGCACCATCTCTTAATTATATTTGTAATCTTATCGACTCAGTGCCTAACATAGTGCCTAGTACAGAAAATATTTGTTGACTAGAGTAAACCAAGACTCAGAAAGACACATAACACCGTGTGTATGTGTGGAGCAGGTGGAAGCACATGTACGTACTGGCTCTGTCAGGATCAAAAACAACAGCCACCAAATACCCAGACCCTACTACTACTACTACAGCTGCTGGATCTTTTAAAACTAGCTAGTCGGTTATAAGAATTTCTTGTTTCTACATCTGTTTCTGTACTTTCCTAAAAAAAAAAAATACATTTAGTACATTTTGTAGTCTGTATCTGTTAATTCCAATGCCTGAAGTCTTTGCTGCAAGAAGGTTTGCTATTAACTTATGTTCCTTGGGACATAACCTGTAGGAGGTCTTTGAGATTGTGTTTGAAGTCTCTTGTTCTTCCAGAGGGGATGTGCTGGTGTACTTGGGGCACCACTAACCTGGAATCACTTTAATCCAAAAGTGTGTCCTTGGATTATCACTCCCACAGGCAGTATAAACTATGGCCACTGACCTACACAGACAGGCTCTTATGATTAAAAATTCTTAATCACAGAATTATGAAGTAAAAATGATTAGAACAGATTTGTTCCCTTGAGATAAGGCTGAATCAGGCAAATATTTCCACCCTTGAAAGCTTTTTATAAAGCTCAAAAATTTAATCTAGTTATACAAAATGGAACAGTTGAGCTATCTTGTGCATACAGCCACTTTAAGAATCTAAAACAATTCTAACAAAGCAACACTAACTTTTCAATCTAATTTAAGAGGTTATAGAAATAACTGCCATCATTTCCTGAACTTATGCAATTGCTAGTCCACTGACACATGGATTATCCCACTAAATCCTCACGATAACAATATGATTATTAGCATCCCTGACTTACAGATGGAGAAACTGAGGCTCAGAGTGAGTCACTACCTAAAAGACAGGGAGTAAACCCATGCCTAGAAAAGGCCAGGCCCGCATCTGTGCCAGGGCAGCAAGCAGGTAAGAAGTACAGTAGTTACCCAAGGTTCCCACCATGACCCTCCAACTATGATGATGATTTTATACTTGCCCAATGTACGAGACACAAGCTTAGGACAGGGTTTTCCTTAGTTCTCTATGTTCAGAAATGCTCAGAAATCCAGTCAGTGAGGAACCAGGTATCTAAACAGTAGCCAGGCTGATTTATTCAATGTCTCCTAAACATTCCCTCTATCTCTTAATTCTCCTTTTACACAACTGGTCACTCTCCACTGGTCAAGTCCCAGCTAGTCTTTTCAGACCTTGCTCAAGTCAGTAAAACCTTCCATGACTGCACTATAAAATCTACAGAACCTACTATCAATAGGAAAGGGTCACAAAGGCCTGCAGGCTGAATGAAGTCACGCCCATGGGTTACTCATCCTACAGTCCAGGGCTGCTTCTGGAGCTCTGACAGAACAGAGCAGGTACAAAAGAGATCCCATGGCTGACAAGTCTAACATGTTTACTGTCTGTCCCTCTGCGGAAAAACTATACCAATCTTTTTCTTTCATTGTGCACTGGCATTTACCCTCTTACATATTTATGAAAACAAGTAAAAAAATCTTTGAGGGCAGGACATTGTATTATGCCTGTGTATCCCCCCACAAGACCTAGTCCAATATGAAACACATGCCAGCGATCCTCAAATGTTGCTGATGAAATCATTTATTCGGTGTCATTCAGCAACTATCTTCCTCCTGACCTCACGCACCTTACAGGCCTCCTATGAAACCAGCTTTCTCCTATTGTACGTGTCAGTTTCTATGCTTCCAATGCTGGAAAATCCATCCAGAAAACGGAAAGGATGATTCACTTTAGAACACAAATAAAGTAGTTGTAGGGCCGAAAATCACTGGTGGGGGGAAAGGAGGACTAAGTAGACAAAGTACAGGATACAGATGAGGCTCATTGTTGGCCTGATAAGAACAGTAATCCCTGCTCTGGCTACTTTGCAAATCTGTTGCGAGGATCAAATGAGATTACAAAATCGCTTTGGCGGCAGCCACCTTAGCAACTGCCACATTCTCTACTGGCTCCCTGTCTGTCCCTGTGACTTGTAATGGCTTCAAAAATCTCCATGGTGAAACTGGCCGCTGTTGGTGCCACCACCCACAAAACTCTTAACACAGAGCATGGTGGGTAGCAACAACACTGGATTGGGGAGCAGACGACCTCAGGGACTACTTGAGATGTCTGACCTTGGCCAACTCCTCCTGCCTCTTCTGGCTTGTTTCTCCTCTGCAAAGTGCAGCTGATTCTATTTCCACCATTGCTGCTGAGAGCAAGTAAGAGCATGTACATGAAAGCAAACTACAAATTTCCGTATACAAATGGAAGGTTGTTGTCAGCATTCCTTTACGAAGGAAGCACATTTGAATTCCTACTACATGAAAGTGCTTTTTCCAGGTTCTAAGGGTGATGTTGAGAACAAGGCCAGATGGATTTTCTCATGCAGCTTAGAATCCAAGGATATTAAGAGTCCAAGATAATAATGGTGATAAAAATTATGAAAAAAATTTGGCAGATTAAACACATGTAAGGTGAAGAGGGATGCTATTTTATACAGCATGGTCAGGAAGCTCTCTCTGATGAGGGGAGCATACAACAGAGTGAAGGAGAAACAGCTGCAGACCATCTTGAGGGAAGCCCTCCCAGCAAAGAATAGCCAGCACAAAGGCCCAGAGATGGATGGGCAGTGGGTGCCTGAAGTGTCTGAAGCTCACCATGGTCTGACCAGCAGTGTGCTTGGTGCTGAGACTGGAGAGGAAGCTGAAACTTGGGAAGGGACATATTATGGGCCAGGGCTCTCAGGGAAGGAGAGATGAGTTAATGCTGGGTCATAGAGGAAGGAAAAGGACTTAGCTAAGTAAAACTAGTAACAGGAACAAAGCAAGGAAGTAGCAGAGGTAATAATAATAATAGCATCAGAAGCTTACAGCACTTTTGTAAGCATCAGCACTTAACAAAGTGCCAGATACTGCCCCATGTACTTTTGCCCATAGCATTTCAGGTTACCCTTACAAAGCCTTACCATCCCACTTAACATATGAGAAAAGTGAGGCTAGAGAATTTGCCTAACTTGTCTGAGGTTACAAGGCATGTGAGCTCAGCCTGATGGGCATGATGCAGCTAAGGAGTATGGACAGTTCCTCTTGGCAAAGAGAAGGGAGCAGAGGAGAGAGAGAGGGCCAGAAAAGCAGGCAGAGGGCAGGCTGAAGAGAGCCACTTCAATATTTGTAACAGGTCAGCAGCACACGAAAACGGCCTTTTTTGGAAAGTTAACTTGGCAACAGAGGAGGGAACATCAGCAAGGGAAGAGCATGAGGGCAGGTACAATGGTCTATGTGAGAGGTGACCAGGGCCGCAGCTAAGGTAAGGTCAGTATTGATGGAAAGAGGTAGGCGGCTGAGTGGGTGCAGAGTAAATGAAATTTGGAAGGTGAACAGCCAGCTCGATATTCATATACCACCTTCTGAGAGCCTCAGAGAATTTGCACAGTCACTTTGTTTTTGGCAAAGTGTCTTAGGATGAAGGCCAACACTGATTACCATTGCTGACAATCCTCAAATCATTGTTAGTTGAGAGTTCAGTGTTACTGACTTTATTTCCCAACCTATCAGCTTAAGAGGGCAATTAAAGTTGTCACTCCAAACTGTGCTTACAGCTCTAGGTAAAAGGTCTGGAAAACCACTTCTTACTGATCTCTTCATCTCAATATTATTTCAAACAGGTAGGACAGTTAGACATTTTACCAGTTTATTGCCACTGAGAAATTGCGAGATTAGACCCATGTGGGTTTTTCAAGCCTGCATTTCTAAATGTGAGACAAGAGTCTTTATCCTGTTGTACTTTCATGAGATCAAAATCTCTTTTCTGTTAAAAATGGAGACTTCTATGACTTTTTCAACCTGAACATACTTGTTGAACCTTAACCCCTTCTTTATCTTTCTTAAATGCTTATAAAAATGGTGTGGTAAAAGATGACAACAAAACAAATTAAAAAGAAAAACCAAAAATGGGACTGAAAACAAAAAACCTTAGTCACTGTTCAGATTTGATCACTTGATTAGCTGTGCAGGTCAGAGCCTTTCCGTGCCAAGGTTTCCTCATTGCTAAAAGGCGTGGGCTGGCTTAGGTGAGCTTTCCAGCTCTGTGACCCCACGATCTACAATAATGATCTTTATCCTCAGAGAGACAAAAATCAAAAGCGGGGGAAATAAAGGGTTACAGAATGTATTTGAAGAGAGACCTTCAGTGTAGAACAGCACTTCTGTTTGGATTATTTTTAGAACACAGCAGCTTAAGGACAGGCGCTGCCTTCAGCTATTTCCTATCTGTAATGGGAAAGAAAGACCACACAGGCAGTAGGCGGGGCAGGAAGAGCTTTTCTCAGTTCTGCAGGTGAACCAGCAGACCCACACACAGGCTCATCAAGGTCCACAGCAGGCCGGGCCTGGGCCCATGACCCTGTTCCACTCACTCCTATTCACGGTGCTGTGAATCCACTGAAGTGTGACTGTTAATGCACACAGCTTTCTTTGGGGGTGATGAAATGTTCTGGAATCAGATACCGGTGACAGTTGCACAGCCTTTGCAAATATACTGAAAATTGTTAAATTGTGCACTTTAAAAGGATGAAATTTATAATACGTGAATTATATATCAATCTTTTTTAAAGAAAAGGAATCCAAGTATGCTGCTGTGACCCTCAAACTTCAGCGTATACAAACACCATGTGGGATGCTTATTAGGATATGAATTCCTGGGACTTCCTGCCATTACCACCTACATTCTAGCCCAACAGCTTCAGTGCAGAACCTGGCAGCCTGCATTTAACAAGCACACTGGGTAGGGCTGCTGATGTAAGTTATCAGCCATGAGGCATGTTTTATGAAGTACAGGTATAATGAAAAGAAACTAATTTAGAAAAAGGGGAGCTGTTTATTCAAATTCTGGTACTGCTCCTTCCTAGTTATATGACCTTGGACGAGTCACATAACTTCTCTGCTCCTTAATATCCTCAACCATAAAATGTAATGAAGAATGTCTCTCTCCAGAGACAGAAAACATGAAATGTGGTAGAGTACATGGCATATAGTTGGTGTTTAATAAATGCTAAGCTAAAACTAAAGCAGGTGCCAATTCCATTCAACACATACTGTTCAGGGACTACAATGTGAAAGGCACAGTGCAAGGCAACGGTAATCAGTAGGACAAATTTTGAGAGTAATCAATTAATGGATTTTTCCAACTATGAAACAAATTTTAAAAACAAAGCATCACTGTTTACAAATCATTTAAATTAACAAAGTATCTTACATGACCTTGGATAAGTAAATTTGGGAATTTACTAGGAAAAATAAAAATAACATAGGTCCAGGTGATAATTATAAAGGATGTCTGGAAGCTATTTAAGTAATAAAGCTGACACCAGCACTATATTTCTTCCTTTGTATTTTCTGTCCCAGGGCGGAATGTAAGGCTAATATTGGTGACCATACTTAAACTTTTCTCACATCCCCATAGTGTAATCATGGGACAAGACAGAAAATACTCACTAAGTATGTGCTTAATGAAACAGCGCAGCCTCCTACCTTCAGGTCACGGTGGATGATGGGAGTTTTGCACTGATGCAGGCGGGCAACAGCTTCACAAGTATCACAAAATATCTGGAGCACTTCATTCTCTGTGAAACCTGTTTGTAGGCGCTGGTTCATCAGGTTCACCACCTGGCCTCCTGAGAGTGGCGCAGAGCAAAGGAGAGTTGATTAACACTCAGCCTCATCACTGAACCCGGGACAGTAAGGGGCTATCAAAGAGGAGCTATCTTGAACCCCAGCCTCGGGTTTATTTTCTTCCTCCAATGCCTCCTCTTTTGCATCAAACCCAGTTTCTTTATTTTATTAAGTACCCAGATGTGAGCTGCCCTCATTATGTCGTTAAGATTAGTAATGGCAACGGCAATGCAGTTCTGCTGCAGTTGCCTGGCCACACTGTCCTCATGTGTATGAGATGAGGACAAAGTCTCAAACTGCCACATCTTTTAGTAAGAATCAGATGGCACAACAGACCCAGAACAGGAAAAGACAGCTTCACAGTTTGTGCTAATGCACAGCTTGGTCTCGTGGGCTTCATTACTTGCTGCTTGGCCTGCGTAAATGCTACACCAACATTTCACCTTCAAGACCAAAAGACTGAGGAGCACACTTACAAAATTATCAAGATCCCTGAGGCCGGCGCCGTGGCTCACTAGGCTAATCCTCCGCCTTGTGGCGCCGGCACACCGGGTTCTAGTCCCAGTCGGGGCGCCGGATTCTGTCCCGGTTGCCCCTCTTCCAGGCCAGCTCTCTGCTGTGGCCCGGGAGTGCAGTGGAGGATGGCCCAAGTGCTTGGGCCCTGCACCCCATGGGAGACCAGGATAAGTACCTGGCTCCTGCCATCGGATCAGCACAGTGCACCGGCTGCAGGGCGCCCGCCGCAGCGGCCTTAGAGGGTGAACCAACGGCAAAGGAAGACCTTTCTCTCTGTCTCTCTCTCTCACTGTCCACTCTGCCTGTCAAAAAATTAAAAAAAAAAAAAATCCCTGGAAGGGTCTACTGCTTGGCCTCTGAACAGTTTACCAGTTTACTGTCCAAAAAAGGAACAGACAGAAGGACACAACTTCTCAAGTTCAAACTTGATCATATTTTATAAAATCACATTAATAGTTAATATAATGAAAGCTGAAATTACTGGTTAAATTGCATTTTAGGAATTAGCAACATTTATGAATGGTACTTTATTACTATCATCATCATTATATTTTAATTAATTAATTTATTTGAAAGGCAAAGTTATAGACAGAGTTATAGAGAAAGAGGAGAGAGAGAGAGAGATCTCCCATTCAATGGTTCTCTCCCCAAATGGCTGCAACCATTTTGGAACTGTTCCAAGTTGAAGCCAGAACCCAGAGCATCTTGCAGTTCTCCCACATGGGTGAAGGAACATGGGCCATCTTTCGCTGCTTTCCCAGGTGCATTAGCAGGGAGCTGGATTGGAAGTGGAGTAGCCAGGACTCAAACTGGTGCCCATACGGGATGGCAGCCTAGCAAGCCATGGTTTAATCTGCTATGCCACAGAGCTGGCCCCTGTGAACAGTATTTTTAAGGGCAGGGAAAATGTTAATAGAACTAAGGGTGATTCCAAAAAGGACACCAAACATTATGCTTGTAAGTGGTGGCTGCTCAGGCCAGAAAAAAAAAAAAAAAAAAAATCACACCCCTCAACAACGGTTAGATACAATACTCTCACCTCTGAATAAATTCATGCTAACTTTGGATTTTCAAGATAAATGTTGTTTAAAACTTTATGCTTTCAACTACTTAAGTCCACTGTTAACAGCAGCATCCTCTGAATGGAGTCTTCCTGGGAATAATAGCTCTAGAGCAAGGAGGGGGTCATTTCCATTACCCAAAAAGGATTCTTTTTTACTTCCTAACACAAGGTTGGCAGTAGGAATGGGAAGAAAATACACAAAGAGGGAGTAGAGAGGTTGAGCTCTTCCTTTAGTCCATCTTGGAGGCGGGTCTTTTTGCATGCCTTCATCATTTGTTTGAAAGCATCATAGGGGCTGGCACTGTGGTGTAGCCGGTAGAGCACTGCCTGTAGTGCCGGCATCCTGTATAAGCACCAGATCAAGACCCCACTGCTCCACTTCCAATCCAGCTCTAGTATGGCCTGGGAAAGCAGGAGAGGATGGCCCAAGTGCTTGGGCCCCTGCACCCATGTGGGAGACCCGGAAGAAGCTCCTGGCTTCAAATCTGCCCATTGTGGCAATTTGGGGAGTGAACCAGAGGATGAAAGATCTCTCTCTCCTCTCTCTGCCTCTCCCTCTTTGTAACTCTGCCTTTCAAATAAATAAAAAAATCTTAAAAAAAAAAAAAGCAGCACAAAGACCACATTCATTTCTTTTTCTTTTCCTTTTTTTTTTTTTTAAGATTTATTTATTTATTTGAAAGTCACAGTTACACAGAAAGAGAAGGGCAGAGGCAGACAGAAACAGAGAGAGAGAGGTCTTCCATCTGCTGGTTCACTCCCCAGATGGCCACAACGGCCGAAGCTGCATCTATCTGAAGCCAGGAACCATGAGCTTCTTCCAGGTCTCCCAAGCAGGTGTAGGGGCATAACGACTTGGGCCATCTTCTACTGCTTCCCCAGGCCACAGCAGAGAGCTGGATCAGAAGCGGAACAGCCAGGACTTGAACTGGCGCCCACATGAGATGCAGGCACTGTAGGCAGCAGCTTTACCCGCTATGTCATAGTGCTGGCCCCATCACATTCATTTTCATATATTCTTATTTGTATACCAGCACCAAACTTTCCTAAACCTAAGAATGGAGTTTCGTATCATCTATCACTTTTAAATATTTGTGCCACTGCTCCTTGCATGATAAGAACACCAGCAACTGAGGAGGCTCTGTATCTTCCAGCTTCTTAGTAGTTCCCCATTTTAAAGCCAGAACAACATACTTAGGGTACAGTGCATATTAAGTGAAAGGATCCCCCTGCCCCAGATAATCAGAGCAAGAGACAAGCGAGAGCTTATGGGTAGGATTCACATACATACCTCGACAGAAGTCCATAAGAATGAGAACTTCCCAGACATCACCACTACTCACACTGTTGATACTTGAGTCAATGTAACCCACAATGTTCTTGTGACCTGACAGGTCCCTCTGTGAACAAGGTGAGAAATACACCATTAGTTATGGACACCAACAGAGACAGACAGAATTAGCCAGTCAGTTCCAATAGCCCAGAGAATTTAAGTATACACAGATGGTTCTAACAGTGTTGAGAGAGGAGATTGAGGGGCAGGGTCCAGCACAGGTCTCCAGTGCTCTCTGAGACTGACTCAGCCAGATCTCCACTCGAAATTCCACAGCTCTACTAACCCACAGGCATTCTTCAGAGCCTAAACTCTAAAAACAAATGCACACAGAAGGCCTTCTTGCTCACTGCATCTGTGCTCCAGGTGAGCCAAAAGCGAACACACTCATCTCCAAAAACACTGCAGAGAAGAGGAGACAGCGTGAACCATTTAAATGTGTGAGTTTTTAATTCAGAAAGGTAAAATGGATGTTTTCCTTGGTTACAAGGGGAAAAGTGAATAAAACCAGACTTTTAAATGGTTCATATTGTTTTTCTCCCTTTAGGAAATACATGAATAGAATAATTGCTTTACAAAGTTTTGAAGGCTCATAATTAAGCCCTTCAAGCCAACTGACTAGGACATAAAATGGGACCTATTTCCAGCTCTGTGGTTGGAACTACATGTGATGTCTCAGGGTTTCTTACACAGTTCATTCAGCCAACACGTGTTTATTGAGCACCTCCTAAATGCTGTGCCCAGCTGAGGCTGTGGACATTGCCTCACACCTCGGTGAAATCGTTTCATTGTCTGTAGAAGCAGATCTTTGTAATGAGGATGTTTAAAACCCAAGATTATTAAGAACTAACTTGGAGAAAGAAAAAGTGAGCAAGCTAAGTAAAATGACTTCAGTACAAATACACAGTAAGATTTTTTTAAAGCCAGTTTTAATAAATTGTTTTTATTTTAAAAGGTCAGGGGGAGGGAGTGGAAAACAACATGATTCTCTGAGAGTCCTCATACTAACTTGGCAGTGTGGACCATGAGAATAGAAACTACCATTACCTTAGCTGGAGATTCAGTTGTTTAAAGTGATCAATAGTCTCCTTTAATCTGAAACTATACACCAACACAAGAGGAGCCTCATGGTATTAAGTATACACATCTAAAACCTGAACTCAGTAGAACTCCCTTTGAGTCATGGATTCAGAATAACTAATGTGGGGCCAGTGTTGTGGCATACCAGGTTAAATCTCCACCTGTGACAGTGGCATCCCATATGGGCATCAGTTCAAAACCCGGCTGTTCCACTTCTGATCCAGCCCCTGCTAATGTGCCTTGGAAAGCAGCAGAAGATGGCCCAAGTCCTTGGGCCCCTGCACCCATGTGGGAGATCCGGAAGAAGCTCCTGGCTCCTGGTTTCAGCCTGGCCCGGCCCCAGCTGTTGCAGCCACTAGGGAATGAACCAGAGGATGGAAGATTCTCTCTCTCACTCTACTTTTCAAGTAAATAAAAACATAAATAAATCTTTAAAAAATATGATGAGTTCTTTAAAAAAAGAAAAAAAGAACTAATGTATCAGAAATGGTAGACCCACAAAAGGTAAACAAAGGGAGAGGCATGACCCTGGAATTGTCGATCGGAAGTCACCAGACTTACGTCACAGTAATTCCAGGGAAGGGATGGGATAGAAGTGAGAATGAAATTGGACATGGAAAGAATAGGAACTAAGCTAGTAGAGCCAATCACTATAGATTACTCCTTCAGAATATCTGTGCTTAAGACAGGAGCAGCATTGAGGACGGGACACTGAGCCCTGGTGAATGGAAGAGGCCAGGGGATAGGATACAGGAGAGGATGAGGACAGTGGACAGAACCAAGTCCTGCAAGTAGAAGGGTGGTGATTAAGGGTATTATTAAAGGGATGGGCTGAGTGACATTTTCTTCCTGGCACACAAGAAGGAGGCAAGGATGGAACTGCATATTGCTGTAAGACTTTAAAAAAAAAAAAGGAAATTGAAGCAGTTCAGATCAAGGTCATCTTCAAATGTACAGGATGAGAGAGAAGCTTGATGAGACAAAAGGTTTAGAGCATATGCCTTAGATAACAGATAAAGGAGGAGATAATAAAGCTAAAAGGAATCTCCGGATTTCAAGTTTTTCCAAAAACAGAAAGTGATTTTAGGGATCATATTTTACAGGCCTATCCTTCTCTGTTTTTCTGTCTCATCATCAACCCTTCAAGAACTCGTTTCCGGTTACACAGTCATGAGATAGGAAGAACTGGAGAGAAGTTCCCTGAAACCAAAATAAAACAGATCATGTCCTCCAAATGTTCACAAGGAGGAATGAAAGACAAATGTCTCCACATTTAACCATTTGAAAAAAGTCAGCAGTATTGCCTGAGTTCTAATTCATTCCAAGAGAAGTATCAAAAAATTTGAAAGAGAGAAAAATTTCAGTAGATTCATGTTACAATCTGAATGTTTGTGGCCCTTCCAAAATTCATATTAAAGTTTAAATCTCCAGTACAACAGTAGTAAGAGATTGGGCCTTTGGGAGGTGATCAGTAACCTTATATAAGGGCTAGAGGGAATTAGTTAGGCCTTTCTGCCCCAAAGGCAAAGAGCTTGTATCTCTCACCACCACCACCACCACCACCCCACCTCCACCTTAAGTGCCCTGTCCAGTCCCTGAGGGAACAGCATTCAAAACACCATACTGGAAACACAGACTGGGCCCTCACCACATACCCAGCCTGCTGGCACACTGAGTTTAGATTTCCTAGCCTATAAAACTCTGAGAAAATAAGTTTCTCTTCTGTAAAATTATTCAACCTTTTTTTAAAAAATGATTTATTTATTTATTTGAAAGAGAAAATGGGGTGAGGGAGAGAGAGAGAATCTTTCATCTGTTGTTTCACTCCCAGAGACCACAATGACCGGGGCTGGGCCAGGTTAAAGCCAGGAGCCAGGTGGTTCTTTCAGGTCTCTCGCATGCTGCAGGGGCCCAAACACTTGGGCCTTCTTCCTCCGCTTTTCCCAGGCCATTAGCAGGGAGCTGGATTGGAAGTGAAGCAGCCAGGATTGGAAAGGGTGTCCATATTATATGCTGGGCATTCGCAGGCTGTAGCTTAACCCACTATGCCATGAAGCCAGTCCCAATTATCCAGTCTTGAATATTTTGTTCTAGCAGTACAGATGGACTTTGACAAGACAAGAGGAGGTCAAAAGTCTTTAGAGGTCCAAAACTGGATAATTAACATCAGCAGATGGCAACTTGCAGTTTGCCAAGATGTTTGCTCATTCCCAAACTGCTGTTCATTTTGTCTCTGCAGAGCTATGTCCAAGCAGAAAAGACCTACTTTTGGGAGGGACACCATGGCATTTACCCTTTAATGACCTAATGACGCAGCAGCAGCATCTTAGATCTTCAGAGTATAATTTCACTAGTTTATAATTCTGATGGAGAAGATCTGTGTGTGTGACTCACTACGAAATGTGGATCAAGAGAAAAACCTTACCACAAACTGAGACTGACTTGCATTTAAGGTACACTGGCAGCAGCTTCAGACCAGTTCTCAGCAGCCAAAGAATGCCCAAGCCTTCCTCTGGCTTTGGTTAAACAACCAGCCTCAAGCAGGCATTTGATCTAGTAGTAAAGATATCAGTTAGGAAGGCTGCATCCCACATTAGAGTGTTTGGGTTCAATTCCTGGCTCTGGCTACTGACTCCAGCTCCCTGCCAAGCAGACCTGTGGAGGCAACAGTGATAACCCAAGCAGTAGAATCTGTGCCACCCACAAGGAAGACCTGGATTATATTCCTGATTCCTGGCACCAGCCCTAGTCCAGCCTTAGCTGTTGCAGGTATTCAGGCCAGTAGATGAATGTCTAGAAAAAAAAAAAAAAAAGAGAGTCCAACCCCAGATCAGCAAAGAGGAATAGATGTGGAAGTATAGGATGGAAAACACAGGAGGAGAATCGCTGCTCCCATCTACTTACTCAGGAAAAAGCAGGATAGAGGAAAGATGCCTTTCTGCCCTGGTATTTTTGGGGTAGTGGGGCAGAAGTCTCTACAATGAGCATAAATCAACACACGACTCGGGGAATGTTCAGTTAAATAAATAAGGTCAGTCCCTCATATGATTTAAGCAGTGGTAAATTTAAAGGATGAGTTGTCATTTTAGACTTTTATTTATTTCAAAGGCAGAGTGACACAGAAAGAGAGAGCGAAACAGAAAAGACAGGTCTTCCATCCGCTAGTTCATGCTCCAAATGGCCACAATAGCCAGGTCAAAGCCAGGAGCCAGGAATTTCATCCTTGTCTCCCACATGGCAGAGACCCAGGAACATCAACAGGAAGCTGAATTGGAAATAGAGTAGCTAGAACTCCAACAAGCCCTCCAATATGGGATGTGGGTGGCCCAGGCAGTGGCTTAATCTGCAGCACCACAACACTTGCCCCAGACTTTATTTTTTAGCTAATATTAAATGACATTTATAAAATACTGACAACTGTTACCAGAAGATCTGCTTCATTAGATATTTAAAGGGGTTTAAGTTAGCTTATTAACTATCATATTTAAATGCTTGAAGTGCTAAAAAAAACTAGTTTATGCATAGACTATGCATCTGAAAATTATATGCATGAACTACCACCTGAAAATCAAGCTTTAAACCCAGACCATGCAGATTCTCACAAACATCAAGTTTATCTAGGGTCCTAACTCATGAAGCTTGCAGCACACAACAGTATTCTATCCTTAGCTTCAAAACTCCTGCCACAGGAGAATTCCTAGTTAAGAACCCTAAGGCCTTATAAGAAAACTGAGCAGTCTATTCCTTAGTATATCTATGAAAACCTTTATATTGACATTCAAGAAAAACAAGATGGCATTGTAAATGCTGTGCAAATAACAAGTCACTCAATTGAAAACAGTAAAACTAAGCATTGTACATTAGCTAATTTCTTTATACAGATGGTCTACAACTCACAACAGTGATTTTCTGACTTTGTGATGATGTGAAAGTGATACTCATTCAATAGAAATAACACTTCAAGGTTTTGAATTTTTATCTTTTCCT